CAGACGCCACGAAGTACAATTCAAAATTTTGTAACCAGTTTTCTTCAACGTTTTCTTGCCAGTACATCTACGTGGGAGGTTGAATAATATCCGTTATTGGATGTGTGGATTTTCACTTCTGACACCAAGAAATATTTCTATGAGGGTCTTTCGGTATGAAAAACAACAGGAGATCCGGGTGACGATTGTTTATTCCGCAATTTACATGTTCAAAACGTATATACGGTATCCGTGTCTCGCGGCGTGCTCTTGTTTGTTATATCGTGTAGTGAGTACAAAATAATAATAACTCCCGTTACCCATTCCCTTCAAATTCGGAGGACCGGGGATAAAAACATCTTTCTTTTGACCAATGAAAATATTGGCTTCACAGAGATTGATGGGCGAGCTGAGAAGATTATTATTTAGTGACGAAATTCGTTTTCATGCGGAGGAAAAAGAAAAAGAAAAACTTGCTCGTCAAATTTTCGGCGACAACATCTCGGGTTTACATTTAAAAAAACAAAAACTTGGAAAGGTTTTTCGAAAGACAAGATGTCAACTTAGTGACGAAAAAATCAGTCGTATTCTCAACTGAGAAAAGAATTTTTTTTAATGATAAGAGAGTTTGCTCAAATAGGCCACGAACTGCAAATTCGTTTTGGACCCCACTCTACAATATTTAAGCATTGTGTAAACTTTTTGCAAAGATGGAGGAATGCAAAAATATATTCCAGGAATTTTTTAAGTTCCAGACGGAACAACAGATGACAATATTATAGCAATAGAAAACATTCCAGATGCAACTACAGGAGGAAACTTTTAATAGATAGATGCAGTTTCAACGAGAAATGGAACTGATGCATAAGGAGTTTCAAAACAAAATTCTGGAAAAAACTGAGAAGAGGAAAAAGAAAAATCTACAAAATGATTCTTTCCCAGAGAATACAATATGGAATTCGATTGAAATATTCACGTACAGTCCGGATGAAGAGATAACTTTTGAAGAGTATTATAAAAAATATACGGACGTGTATAATGAGGACTGCCACACGTGGTCTGAAGGAAAGAAGGTTAGACTTCTTTTAAGCAAGTTATTTTACCGAAAAAAACTAGCGAGTTGACTTTTACCGAGGCGGTAAATATATTAAGTGAATTATTTAGTAAAAAGACATCTTTGTTTCACAAGAGGTGGACATGTTTGAATCTGATGAGGGATGAAGAACAAGACCATATAACGTACGCAGCCAATGTGAATAAGCATTGTGAAGAATTCAAGCTAGCAGAGTTAAGCGCTGACAATTTTAAGTGCTTTGTGTTTTTTCAAGGGCTGGTATCGGAAAAAGACGCAGAATTGAGGAAACTGGTACTGACAAAATTGGAAAACCATCTAAGGATTACAATACAGAGTTTGGTAGAAGACTGCACAAGATATGTTAGCGTAAAGAAAGATTCGAAAAAGATAGAACCGTCTGGCAGGAAAATACGCTACAAAAAAGAAAGTCAGTCTACCAAAAAATTCTAAAATTGCGGATTATCAAACAAAAAGTGAAATACTAGAAAAAAATAAACAAAAATTCCCGAAACTATGTTTTGCTTGCGGTGAACTTCGCTAGTACAGATATTGCAATTTTAGGAATAAAAAATGTTTCAACCGTAAAAGAGTGGGTCATAAAAGCTCGCACTGCAGGTCCAAAAATAAAGACAATAAAATAAAAAAATTAAAGTCCGACGAGGTGAACGATGGAATAACCAGAAAATTTGTTACCGTCGAAAAAATAAAAATGCAACTCGACACTGGTTCCGCCCTATCTATCATAAATTTGTATACGTGGAAGAAGTTGGAGAAACCAACTTTAATGAAAACAAATAAAATCGCGAGGTCAGTGACGGGAGAAAAAATACAATTTATTAGAGAAATTGTTACAAATGTCACGTTAAATAAAAAAAACGCGAAAAGCTAAACTATTTGTCATAAAAAATACCACGAACTTACTTGGTATGAATTGGATAACATAATTTCAATTATGGGATCTACCGTTAAATTCTTTCTGTTACAAGGTTGAAAATTTAAACTGCGAAGCCCAAGAATTAGTAAGGAAACTTAAGGAAACATTTTCTACTGTTTTTTCTCCAGGTTTGGGAACGTGTACCAAGATTGAGGCAAAATTACAGCCAAAACAAAAGACTCAAGCGGTATTCAAAAAGAAAGGGAATGTACTGTTTGCTTCAATTGAACAGATAAATAAAGAATTGGACAGATTAGAGAAAACCGGTGTATTTAAAAAAGTTGAATGGGTAACACTGACGATATATGTGAAATAAAAGCTTCAGAAAGTAAAAATGAAATCGACACCAAAAAAAATGTTGCTAAAAAAAAAAAAATATTTTGTTTCTTCTTCATATTTTCTGTAAAAGATGAAAAATAAATAAAGAAAACTTTTTACTCCTACGGAGTAAAGTTTTAGGGCGGATGTTATACTAGAACATACCTATTCTATTATTAATAGACTCTCCCAGATATAATAAGTAGTAGTAGTAGCAGTCGCCAGGGGGCTCAGTGAGTTGGTGAGTCAGTTGATGTCGGACATTAAAGTCTCAACCACCACAACTAGATTGCTGCGTCATTAACCATTACTTCAAGTTCCTAACGTTTTGTACGTCGAACCTTTTTTAGGGCCGACTTAGTGAACAAAAATATTATATTATCGACTTTTAACTAAGATCCCATAATTTTCAAGCCTCCACTGTGAAAACTACTCTACAACAATATAAAAAACAACAATTATAATTATTATCAGCAAAATGTTCACTACTTTGATCAATTCGACTATCGAAAGTTGTTGAAAAACTTGATTCACAGCTTTCGCTGGGTTTCTTTTAGAGAATAGTTCAGTTTTACTAACCTAAATTCGTACTTTTATAAACTGTTCAAAATCAAGGTTAATACCTCTAATTTTGTGACTAATCGTATATTCTTTCCGCATTTATTTCTTTTTTCTTATGTTTCTTCATTTCCTTTTTCTTTCATTTTTCTTTTCGCTGTCGTCATAGTTGTCGGTAGCGAGTCATAATTGATTCCTCAAAGAAACTTGTGTTCTTAACTGAGTAGATTCTTGGTGGACATAATTAACATTTGAAGAGAATTTTCCTGTTAATGGGTTAAGAATACAAGTTACTTTGTGCAATCAATTCGATGTGCTACCATTCATGACAATTGTATGTTGAATTTGTATGTCTTAGCAGTTTGAAACAGATTGTAATTGAACCTCTTCCTTGAGGAATGTAACAGCTTATAGTAAAACTGAGTCAGCTGATGCATATAGAAGTATTCCTTTTAGTTCTTACGGTTGGAAACATTTTCACCTTGCTATAGTTACTATATTCAACTAGGCTGGTCAATTTCTTGTTCATCACTGTGGGAATGCATTTGTCTGCTGGCAATATGATGAAAATCAGCGTACAGCCTTGATGCCCAATTTTTATTCACTTGTGCGATTTGGGAGGGTTGGCTGTTTTTTATGAAACTCGCTTGATGGTTGTGGCAAATTCGAGAACCTTGTTTAGCATTGTATCATCAGAGACATTCAACTAGTGTTTGCTGATATTGAGAACTACTGCTTGGTGGAACTCTGATCTTCAATTTATTCTATTTTTCATATTTGGTGAGCATTGACCCATTCAGATGCTATGACTTATCCAGTCTTGTTGGGATCTCTCTTTTTCTTTTCTTTTTTTTTTTTACTGATAAGCATGGAGCACTAATTATAGGTCCCTACATCTGTAATTAAGAAAGTAAAAAAGAAAGATCATCCAATGCCAGCAACGTATAAAAGTTGGGAACGTCAAAATGAGTTGCGGTGACAAAAGGAAGATGGTGCAATGATAGAGGGAGCGAAACTTGATAGCAAGGCTGCAAAAGCAACAAGTGAACCAAGAAGAATAAGGCTGCATGATAAGAGAATAGCATAGAGAATGAAAATGTTTGTTAGCGAATTTGGTGACATAATAATTGTGAAATCAATTCCTGAGCTGGGTAATAGGAATATACCCAGATTCAGTGGAAACAAAAATAGAAATAATAGAACAATTAATATGGACAGTGGAATGAGAAAAATCTGCCCCTGCAGATTTAATAAAAAGTTCAGTTCAATATTCCCTGAAGGCTGCACAAATCGGTAGACACCTGAAAAGTACTGGGGGAGACAACGGCCAAAATGTTGTGATCATAATAATCAAGATAACGATATTAGTCCGATTGTAAATAATGTAAATAAATAGTGAAAACTCAAAACTTCAGTCAGAAACTAAAATTCTGCTGAAAGATATTATTTCTGAATTGTCAAACAATCGAGTAAAAATATCTTACATCGTATGTTAAGCAAGGGTGATCAATAAACACGCTCTGAGTAGTTACCGCCTAAGAAAAAAGTCATTAATGAAAGACTTGATTGGAATTTCACGTACTTATTTGGAGAAAGACAGTGATATTTGGAACACAATTTTCATGGATTGATGAGACTCATCATGGTGAATTGTTTAATCAGAATCAGGCACAACATGTGTGGAAGAAAAGAGAAGCCGTGCATACTAGTGTAAAATATAAAGGTGACAATCTTATGGTTTGGGGTGATTTTGTTTAAAATCGTTGAAACTGTGGAAAAGGTACAGTGTGTAATCGAACTTAGTAGAAATGGGGTGAAAAATAACTGAGCAGTATTAAATAACTCGATGAAATGTTTTCGGATACAAGCAATGGGACGTAGATTAAATAAAATGTTTAGTTCAAAATTTCCTGAATTTTACCTGGATCGACAAACTCCTGATGAAGGTCAGAGGGCATAATAGCTAAAATGTTGTAATAATAACAACAAAGAGTTCACATGTAAATAATACTAAAATTCAATTTGTGCATTATATACCAATCTAATGAAAATTTGGGTGGATATAAATATCGTCTTTTCTTCTCAAACATACTAAATATCTATTTAACATGTTTGAAACTATTTCTTCTTTTTCAGTAATCATTAATCATGGCCAAACTTTTGGTAAAGAACTATCGCTTCCAATGGAGAAAATGAGTGAAATCAGCATTCCTGACAATGTTATCCAGGTTTCTGGTATAGATGACGCACTAAATATGCATGTAAGTAAAATAATGTTTCTATTACTGTAGATTTGGCATCTTAAAAGTTTAGATTATACTCTTTTTATTATTAGGAAAAGAAGAATAAATTTAAAGATTCTCAAATTCTACATTTTAAAACTGATTCCTTTAGAATTTGAAGTAGATAAACTGCATAAAAATATGGCTTTTTTGTTTGACATCTGAGATTTCATTCCTTAATGTAAACCAGAAGTAAAGAATATTGACATTTATATTAACAATATTGTACACTCAATAAAATAGTCAATAAAATATATCTATTAGATAAAATTATCTCATTCCTTTTATTTTGCTGTTATCACGTGCCAGTATTCGATATGGAAAGAGGGAAATCAATTTTTTTTCAATTAGCATCTTCCAAGATTGTAAAAGAAAGTAATAATAGCCAAATAGAACATGATACCGGCCATACCATTATGTCAAACCCTTCGACGGTATGGGAAATTCTATATTTCATACATGAGATTGTTCTCCAGTCCTTTAAAATCAATACTGGTCTGAGTTGTACATTCATCCGTAAAGCTAACGTAGCCACCTTTAATGTTCTTATCTTCCAATGATCCTCCCTATTTACAATTTACACTACCCAAGACAGAATAGTGAGTACTTTTCCTTCTATGCTAGACTGCCACACCAATTTTTTCTAATTGATCTTTGTTTCTTGAATCTGACCTTTAAGTGTTATATTATTTCCTATATTTTTATAGTATTACCAGGCTTCGCCCACTCTTTATCGCTTCACAAAGTAAGATATACTCACTACTTGAAATCTTTTAAACAAAACTTTTAAATGACCATTTCATTCATAAATTGGCTTGTTATAATTAAGGAAAGTTTTACAAATAGATGCTAACTTGTGGAAGGCCAAGTAAAATGCAAATTTCAAACAATTTTCTGCACTATATAAGACAATATTCCTAAGCAAAACTATTTTTGATATGAAAATCAAAACATCCTTGAATAAAGGAACAGTAATGAAGGACAGTTAATTAATTAAATAAACTTTTTTTAAATCAATATACAAATCAGTTAGAAATTAAAGAGTGATATTGCCTAGAAGAAGATAATATATAATACAGATATTGCGCCTTTAGCATGTAAATTACTATAAAGTAGAGCTGGCGCTTTTTAATCTCAGAATTCGTGGGAGAATCGCGCTCCAATTTATTTATATAGATAACATACTTTACTTTATTATGTTTCACTAACTCTTCAAATGTTGAATGTATAACTCATTCTAATTTCTATTTTCCCAATCTTTACACTATATTAATTTAATCTTATAAATTTCCCCCTGTTCTGTCACCCATGAAATAAAGATAATTATACGGAAAATAAGGATCTACGTACATCAAATCGTCTTTAAGTTGTGGGACCACTTACATGTGCCACACCTCCATTTCCTTCAATATCATTGGTTCGTAAATATATGATACTTATCATATGACAATTTTGCCATCGCAGGTAATTTGAAATTTTCTCTAAAATCACGGATGGGTCCATTTCCTGACCAATCGCGTATTTTAGTATCTTTTCTATATTTTAGCGCCAAGCTCTCCGGATCCTACCCATCGTTATAAAAAGACTCTCGCCGTTTGCTAACAGTCAGTAGCAGTTCAATTCTTGGAAAATAAGGCACGGCGCTATATTGACATTTTAATTCTTAATTATCACTCAATCGAGTAATCATACTAATTCCTATTGATATCACTCATGAACATTACATTTTTCTACACTGATAAAACACTGTGGAACTATTCTTTATTTAGCTAAGACTTCAATTGAACTTTGTAGTTAAATAACATTCAATATTGTACTCAACATTAATTAGCTAAACTTACCCTTTTTATTACGGATAAAGGGAAGCAACTTTCTTTATACTATTGTTGATATTTTTGTATATCATTGTTAATACAATATTTTATTAATGCTCACTGAGCTTGATTATTTTTCTCTCGTGTTTGTTGTGCATTATTCATGTGGGGTGTTGTTTTACAAGAACACAGCCTTCCTTCTTTATTATATTCACGGTGACCCTAACCAACAATACTTACAGCACCACTACAAAGTTGCAGCAGATCGTTGAACTTTTAAAAGGTAAGCATCCTAGCTATTGTGATGATGACTAAACCAAGAGTCCTCTACAGGAGCCAGCTTAAATGCCGCCATATAGGGTAACCTCGCATAATCTGGCAACCCTGGGTCTGAGCTCAACGAAGGGCTTTTGAATGAGCTATGAATCATTGAAATCAGACCAGTGATAGTGGAGGAGTTGCTTGGACACACACACGCGCAAACACACACACACACACATACACTGTACTTTATATATAAGATATCTATAGATATAAAGTTGTAGCCTCTGTTTGTTTGTTTGTTATCGAACTTTTCCTAGGGTTTTGGAAATAGACCCCCATAAGCATATATATTCTGAAACATTATCCAGGGTACTTGGATAAGTATATCTTATTTTGATCAAAGGGGATCTGGGTGTATGTGGAGGGGGGTACCCATCCACTGAAATATTTTTTCCTTTGATTTAAATTAAATTTAATTTTGAACAAATGAATAACCCCTACCCAAAATACAGGAGAAAGCCAGAAGATGAAAGTTAAATTAGCAAGATAAAAATGAGACAATATGGACAAGTTGAGCAAGGAATAACCAATCAGTGGGTAGTGCCTTACAATACATATTTGTTGCGAGAATTCAACTGTTATATGCTCATCAATTCATTCAATCAAGTATTGCATCAAATACATAACAAAGGGGTCAAATCAAGCTGTTTCTGTACATCCTCCACTGAATTTCTTTGCGAAAGATCGGGGCATATTGCATTGTATTGCTCTCTGGCTCAGAGAAAACGAATAGAGGGGTTGCTTCTGCGTCAGTATCCACCCCGTCAACAGAACGAAGGAGCAGTACTGATCTCTACTAATCATAGAAGTGTCAGTGGACGATATGATAGCAGTGGCTCTTGTTGATACCAGCTGCACAACCACTTTATTTAATCCCAAGCTTGTAGGCAGATTGAGTGGGAGTGGCACTGTGAAAGCAGTTGACGGAAGGAAGGTAAAGTGTGAATGAATTCGGCAGGTGGAGATAAATGTATATGAAGCGAGGATAAAAACGGAGGCAATTATCGTTGATCGCATCATCAACAGGATCAACATTATTGTCGGAATAGACGTGATCAATAAGCTGGGAAGTGTAACTGTAAAAAATGGCGAGGCTGAAGTTTGGAGAGGTACACTGTGCCGCAGCTGCCCAAGTTCCGAACTCTTGCAAAATTGAGGACAAGGACTTCAAAGTAGAGTTCGATGGAAAGAAATGGACAGTGAAATGGAATTGGATAGGAGAGTCTACAGTATTAAAAACAAGATGGAGTACTACAAGAATACCCTGAAAAAAGAAAAAAAGGGTAGAGTTTGAGAAGGAGGCAAAAAGATGGATTACGGAGGGTATTTTTTTGCCGTGGGAGAGTGAAGTGAAATGAGTGCTACCGCTTACAACCTGATTCGGTTGGGGTTCAAACTCAATGTTGCATTGAAAATTATGGCTGTGTTCCTAAAAAGTGTGTTGATGAAGGGCAATAAGACAAAAGAAGCCACTGATTCATACACTGACATGATAGATGTAACAAAGTTATCGATGGAGGAAGTGGTGGATTATCTTAAAGAATTTGGCATGACAGCAAAGCCACTATAAACCTAAGAAGCTGGGCTTTAAGCTGAAGAGAGGAAAAGTAGGTCAGTGAGGTTCCACGGGTGACAGGAGAGATGAGTTGGTCTATGGAAAGCTGTTTGGGCACTACCCCGTTGCTGGATGGTTATGAGTGGCATGCAGCTACGTGAATTGTAGAGGAAGTGGAATGAACTGGGAATGTAAAGTCGATGATGAAACTGTCGCTGTGATGCAGGAGATGCTAGCTGAGGTAAAGAAAAGTAACCCCATTACCGGGACTTGGCACATCCCTAGCACGAAATTAGGAGTAATGTAGTGTGGTGCTACAGGTGTAGTTGTAGATATCAGTGGTTTGGCGGCGGAAAATGCGGCATGGCTGAGAAAAACGGACAACTATAACCACATTGAATTAGATGCTGTGCTAAAAGGCGTTAATTTGTCTTTAAAGTGTGAGTTAAGAGAGGTGGATTGATTCAATCATAGTATTAAGTTGGGTGAACTCTACTGTAGAGGAGAGCGGGAGAATACGGACAAAAGGAGCTGGAGAAATGATAGTGAAGCAGAGATAAGGAATACTGGGAAAGTTGATATCTGAATTTGGCGCAAGAATGAAAAAGAAATAAGGCGGGTGTATTAACGCAAGTAAACAGATAGTGGATAATAATCAAGGAGGAGGAAGAGGCCCCAGTATGCTGTCTAAAAGAGTTGCACGGTATGTATCATAAGAGAGTGAACATGACTCTATATTTGATGCGAAAAGTCGACCTGCTCGTTCAGAGGGTAGTCAGGGATTGTATCAAATGTCAGTCGATGACCCTGCCCCGAACGTGCACGATCCTGGTAAGATTGGAAGTACACACAATTGGATATTAGCTGTCGATATAACACACGATCGCGGGGGTACGTACTTGTCAATGATTAACTGTGGAACTGGGCGACTGGCAATATCGAAGGAATGGCGTGCGAAAACAGCAGCTATGGTTGAAGAACTGAAGAAGGTGATTCTTAAACGAGGTCCAGTAATGGAGGTAGTAATGGAACTCCCCAAGCAATGCTTGAAAATGGAAAATAAAAAGGTACTACAGGCCAGGTGGAAATATGAAATCGTGGAGCGACACCATCGGACCGTGAGAGAGGAGTGATATCGCCTGTCGAAACGACGCTTTGGTACATGGCGTCTAAGGTCGGTCAGAGAAAGGACACTGTACAACAAAGGTCAATTTTTACCTACTAGTGGAGGTACCTGAAAGATATATCCCCAACTACCGATGATGAAGTGCCAGCCAGAATCTGAATAGGGAAAGAAGCTTAGGTGATGCCACCGAATGCACGGTGTAATGGAGGAGAGGGGTGGCGACTGGAGTGCAATTACCTAACAACCTGACCATTGAATGGACGCTGCAAGATTTAAGGCGAGTGGTCCGTGCAAACGATGAGCACGTGAATTGTGAATGCTGAACAGAGAGGAGATAGAAATGAGATGGCACCAACGCAAAGACAGGCGCAACTCACCGACCTAAGCACAAAACTGAAATGATCTTTTAGGATCATGGGGGCCTTTTGTTAGAATGAAGAAAGAGAAAATGGAAAGTTGCTTACCTCGTGGTGAAGGAGAAGAAGAAACAGCGACAGGTGATCTCTTTTATAGAGATCAAACCGGGGGAAAAGACGAATTATGGGGAGGAAGAAAGAGACTATAAAACGCGACTGAAAATAGGAGTTGGCGATTTTATTCATTTTGGTGAATTTGACGAAATAAAGCTAGTGGAAAAAAAGGGACGTATGAGAAAGGTTGTAAGAGATGCAGAGGAAGAAGGATATTTGAGAATAAGGAAGGACAAGAGAAAGATCCTGGGAGAAGCAGAGGAGATTCGAACTACCATGACCCACTTACTTAGCATTGATACACCCACTTTCAGCCTCTTTTTTTTTTAATTTTTCAAACCACATAAAATTTGGTTATATTCTTCTGAATTTTGATTTCTTACAACTGTTAAAACCACAATTTATGCAAAAAACTATGAGAAAAAAACAAGTTTCTTGTGATTCTTTTCTACTGTGAAGAGAACAAAACAACAAAAGAAAATGAATGAACTCTATAGCTGAAATAACTGAAAATATCTTTATATTACAGAATGTATTACTCACCTGTATATTAGAGAATCTACTTTTGATTTCAGTTACAATTCAAACACAAAAGGTATATTTCTCATATTTACCTGTTCACCTTTTAACATCTAATTTAATATTCACGGCCTTTTATTAAAATGTAGATATGAATTGCTTATAAATAATAACACTTGTGAAATAGATTTCCAAAATATTTGTTAAATAGACTTTCACAATGGATATTTTATGAACTATGATATTAAAATGTATTTATTAATACAAGCATCGGTTTGTAAATGCATTTTGAATTCTGAACTTAAATTTGATTTTCATCTAGATTTTCCTTCATCAGAATAACATTATTATTAATTATCTAAAATATTTATATCTTTCTCATCAGTAATATTCAATTTCATTTTTTTTAGGATTCTCAAGTTGAAAATGAACATTTCAGATATGTGCGTGCTGTTGATGGAAACACTGGTATATAAATATTTTTCAATCTTCTCATTATATTTGCATGTATGTGTGTCTACATATGTTATTGCATTGAAAGATTATTGAAAACGATTTATTTTTACGAGTATATGTAATCACAGAATAAGAAGTAAGTATGTGATAGAACTTGAAAGAAATAATAATAGACAAAACTAAGCCAAAAATCACTCTTCCAGACAATTTGAAAATATAGGATCATTCTAATGGCTCAGAGACTTTCATGCAGAAAACATCATTACGATAATTAAAAAAACTCACAAATTTATTTTTAAAATTTTAATCAAATTTTAAAATTAAAATGATGGAGAAAATTAGTTATGAAAAAGGAGCAAATTTGACTGTAAATAAGAAAAAACTTTTCTTTTCTACAATTAATCTCTCACTACTATTTTGCTTCTCTCTCATGCTCTCTCCCTAACCCTAACCCTAACCCTAACCCTAACCAACTCCCTGCCCAAACACTGGGAGGTACAGGTAGAAGAGAAGAAATAATTAACTCCACTACTTTTTTCTTACTTTTTCCTCACTCACTCAACCATAAGTCCATAACTTTTTATTACCAAAGTCTGTCCTCATACTCATATTGTGCAAAGAACTAACATAGACTATTATAAGATATCAAACTTGGATATTTAAAAACCATCATGCATGTAGGATTGTAAAAGTTATCAATAATCATTTTTTTTACGCCCAAATTATTTAATATGGAAGAAATAAGGCATGAAGTGCAATCACTTCATACATGGACATTTTGACACACAGATTATATATGTATATTATATATGCATATATGCATATTGAGGTGGCAATCCCACGTTTAAGCAGGTTTTATTTAAATAGAACATCTCTTAAGAAGCCCTGTGGTGGGTTTGATGTCAGGTGGAAATTTGTAAAAAGCAACTTACTGAAATTATGTGTAATTTACCAAGTACTTTCAACTCCCATTAGTTATTTTCAAAGAAAGAAAGAAGTTGAGAAGTTCCCAATGGTGTGTTTATGTTAACAGTCCAGTGTTTGAAATGGATATGGATTCATTGATGCAATGGATTTCAGTGTTATGTACCAAAATGACCTTAAGTTCAAAGGCATTTTAAAGGTGTGGGTGTCAGTGTGCACTGAGAATGAAACAAATTTTACTGATGATAGGTTGCCATCTTTTGATATAAAGAGCCTCTAATTTTTCTTTTTTTTAGTTAGCAATAGATTGGCAAAGAATTTTTGACCATCTGACAATAATTCAAAGGGCCACTGTGGATGTGCATTAAATATTTCTTAGCACTTTACTCTGAGAGTAATGACAAAGTTTTAGAGAGAATGGCAACAAAAAGGACACATGTAATTATCATCAGAAAGAAAGAGTTAAAATGTCTAGGGAACATAATGAAGAAAGAGTGCTTGGAAGACTTGATACTCACAGGACATATTGAAGGCAAGAGGAACTGAGGAAAAAGCATATAACATACCTAGTGAATTTTTGTAAATAAACTTCAGGAGAGATAACAAAAAGACAAAATTTACAAATGACAGAAATTGTGGATTGCTAACGTTGTGAAGATGCACGGTCCATAGAAGAAGAATTAGATTTATAGGATAAAAAGCCTGCTTGCCTTTAAGTCCAATCTATTCAAAAGTAATTTGTATAATATGGAGGCTCACACTGTGTTATTTATTATAATAATTTAATATTTCTGTGATGATTTTCCATGCATTGCTTAGATGTGGCACAAAGCCAAATCTCTGGAGCACCTAGTGACAATCAGACTCACTATTTAGTCTTTTTGAGACAAGCTTGTTAACCATTACACCACATAGAAGTGTCCTTGTAATTTAATATTTCTATTGTTTTGTTTTGTTCTGATTATATGTTTGCCTTTTATATTTTTTCTTTTAACATTAATAAAACAATGTTTTTCAATTAACAAAAGAATTATAAATATTACTGTTTCCCTTTCTCTTGCAGGAAGAAAACAAATGCTGGAGAAAACATTACCTTTGGAGATAGTAAGATCTACATTATTCTTTCTTTGCTATGTTTCATTTTCTGTCATTTCCAGTTTTCAGAAATTCAAGTAATTAGGAATTCAATCATTCTAAAACAACATAAAATAAATAAGTAATAATATTTTCAGATAATGTTTTTTGATTTCGTGATTAAAATTAACCAATCAGAAATGTTCAGCTTATTGACACACTGGAATTCTTATTTAGTATATTGTTTATTTAGTCAAAATATGCTTTGTTGTTGGAAAAAAGAATCAATTTGAGTGATTACTGTGGCCAAATCAATAATAAATGAAATTATATTAGGGCAGTGTTTTATACAGTAGCAACATCAGAATAATATTTGTAGTGAAATATGCAAATTATATGAAGAAAATGTATTTTTTATGAGTGCAATGTATATATTCCACTTAATTATTATGCACTAATTCTCATGTATATTAGTATTTTACTGTGGTTTATTCCATATATTCCATATAATAGCAAAGAAAACTAGTTAGGTGATATGTGTGAAATTAACTTTTCCATTCATCTCCTAAAATAAACTTTCTTTACAAAAATGTTTCCAATTTTCCTTGAACAAACATATTCGGAGCAGCTATCTTACTTTACAATTAATGTTATTTCCTCAAATTTGGAAACATTTGAAAGTAGAATGAATAGTCTATACATTATTATGTTTTGAGTAACTGGAACAGAAGTTATATGAGGTCTAATCAAACAGTATCAGAACTCTTTCTATAGTAATGGAGCTAAAGTACATAGAGTGAAGCTGTTTGCCAAGACTGACCTCGAACTCTGTACACATACACACATTATAACTCACTTCTATTGTTTATAGCAGTGCTTGGAAGGAAAAAGTGTAGTGTGTGGTCACCATACAACAGATGTTCCATCAGTAAATATGGCAGAGAAAATTGAGCAGAGAATCTACATTACATTTTGCCCAAACTCTGGTGATAGACACCTTATGCAATGTTGCAGAAAGTATATGGAGAGGAGAGTATGAGCCAGACACAAATGTACAAGTGGTTCAAACATTTCCAAGAAGGCCAACAAAATGTTGACAATGATGCACATTCTAGGAGACCCACAACCAGAAGAACTGCAACCTTTCAGAAAGACCATCAAATCATGAATGTGCAGGAATTGTCATTCCCACTGAAGATTTGAATATGAGACATGTGTCTGCCAAGTTTGTGCCAAAACTGTTTTCAATTGACAAAAAAGAAAATTGGTTTTCAGCTGTATATGATTTCCTTGATTTTGTTGAGGAAGTTGAAAACATTTTGAAAACAGTCATAACATATGATTGATTGTGAGTCTATGACCCTGAAACCACATTACAGTGGAAGATCCAAAACTCTCTGAGTAAAGAAAGTATGAATGAGTCAAAGCAATGTGAATTTGTTGACAGTTTTTGTCAACTACAAAGGCATTGTTCATCATGAGTATGCATTATCTGGTCAAACAGTAAACAAGGTGTACCATTGTGGTGTGTGACAGGGTGCTGTTCATCAGAAAAAAACAGAATTGCATGCATCTAATGTTTGACAACTCCACCATAACAACACACTTTCTTATTCAATACAGCTTGTGCAACAGTTTCTCCAGATCTTGCCCCTTGTGACTTTATCCAAAAGTCAAAACCTACTTGAAAAGAAAAAGATTTCAAGATGTTGAGAAAAATCCAAGAGAATGTGATGAGGCAGCTGCTCACTATCACAAAAAAGGAGTTCCAGGAATGCTTTCATCAATGGAAACAACACTGGATAAAGTGTGTGGCTTCAAAAGGAGACTTCTTTGAAGGAGATTAAATATTGACTTGATATATGTTGTAGTTTTCTTTTTATAGCATCAATCCAGATACTTTTTGATCAGACATCATACACAATTGAAATTTATTTTTATGACTTTCCAGGTTCACTAATTCCTCATGATAGAAGAGATATTCTGCTTTTTTTTACAATTTATGCCAGATTTGAATAAAATCTCCAATGTAGTGAAAATATAGAATTTGGAGCATACAGGATTTTTTTATACCTTAAACATCTTCATTTTTACTTCATTTTATAACTTTAAATGAATTTTATATTCTTTGGTAATATTTCAGTTAGATCTTTCAGGTAGAGGTCATATTCAAATGTTTAATGAATAGAAAAGGAAGTTTTCTTAATAAATCCACTTAATACATCAATTCAGACAGTTACATAAACTGATACTCTTAGTTGAACTGACTACTTGCTTGATAAGTGGTCCTATTATTTATAACTGGCATGCAAATGTAGTAGTAGCCACATCAATATGTGCAAATATTTAACAGAAAACTGCTCAGCTTTATTCTAAAGTGTGTTACTTGAAGAATATAAAATTTCTAATAACTTCATAAATATACATGCTTTAAAATTGAAACTTAAACTGTATTTTAATATATTGCATATAAATATGAATAATAATATGTACTAATTGTTTATGAATGAAATTGATGATTAATGAATTTGTTCTTTTTCAAGTTTCAAAGGATAATGGCTGCTCTGAAATTAGTCAACATGAATATGACTGAAGATTTGGTGAAGCGCTTTGTGTGCAGAATCAATGTTACAAAACTTTCTGATATCAATGAAAACGTTCTTAAGTAAGTATATTAAACAACAGTACACATGAATGCATGTTACCAAATGACAATTAAATGAAAGTGTTGCTTGTTTTTCATATGTGGGTGTGAACTGAATGCTTCTAATTGATAAGCACTTTGCTTTTATTCAACTGTTTTCTTAAATCCAGTTTCTTTTACTCTATATTACTCTTAAGAGCAATGTCAAACATAGGTACCTCAAAAAATTAGCTAAAAATAAGAATGATGCATGAAAAAATGGCCCAAACATAATAAAAATAAAATTTCAATGTCCAAATCTTTGTGCAATTCTTGGGAGAAAAGATTAAAGGATTTGACATAAAAATAGTTTTTCTATTTGTTAAATATCGTTTCAAAAAAATAAACAACAATGTATTGCCGATGAGGTAGAAAGAAAAGGAGACAAGATATGCTAAATTAGAAATTAGAATTAACTGTATTATGAATGTATACATTAAATCAAGGGTAGAATGTCTCTTGTGGGTGAGGAAGATGGTGTTTGTGAGTGAAGGAATCTGGGCTTCAATATGGGTATGATGGTTGTATCTTGAGTTGAAGTGTGTGGTGAAAGGAAGTTGTTGGCCTAACCTTATGTCAAGTCTGTTGATAAAAAAGAACAGCTGTGAACTGTTGCTTAGATTTAAATTTTCTGAGTTGCATGCAATGTTTAGAGCCCATGCACAGAGAGAAACTGTTTTATTGCTTGCTACCATAATGTTCAAATCTGTCCGACAGGTTTTAATACAAAGTGTACCAGAAAAGTTTAACTTGAAGTAGAGTATAACATATTCTTTATAGAACTAGAGAAATTTTAGCTAAAAAATCATTGGGGTGGGGTGTTAAAACCTGATATTGGATTTGTACAGGAGACTTGAGCATTTTTTATTTTCTTTTTTGAAAGACATATTGACTTGGAAAGATTTTAACTGAACTTTCAAGGCTTATTCAGATATGAATTAACTTAAGAGATATGAGAAATCCTTTTTGTATTGCAAAATACTTATTTTTTATGAAGATAAGTTTTTTGGAGAATTTAAATCATCAAAAGGTTTTGTCTAAACATAACCCACAGTGGTAGAAAATCTTCCTGAGTCATAAAAAAAAAAAAAAATGCATTAACACTAAGACATTTTTATTTGAAAAGAGTTTAATTGCTTTTTATGAATAAAATATATTCTAGACACTATTGTCTTGAGAAAAAATGTTTCCCCTGAACAATGAATTTTAAAAAGAATTATTTTATAGCATGTTTTTTCTCAATTTTAATGTGAATAATTTGTAAACTTTTAAATCTTTTAAAATTCTGTATCAATTGGAAGTGGCTAAATGTTATTGTTATTAAATTAAATTAAAACTGTATTTACTAATGATCAATGGAAATGCTCCTATAAATCAACAACCACCAGTATTTCAAAAAGAAATTTTTGTGTATCTATAAAGCCTTGATTTTTGTAAATACAGACATCCATGTAGAACATTATCAGTAAAAATGCTATGGGTTTCAAATATTGTTTTCTTTATAAACCACTGTATGCTTTTCCATTTAAGATATAAAAGTGTAAATAATTTCATAAATAATAAAATTTTAAATACTATAAAACTCTCATAAACAATGATAAATAATTTGAAAATTCAGAACTGGGATGATATAAAAATTAATAATAAAAATAATAAGTAATAGAATAATAAAAATTTAATAATTAAAAAGATTAATAAGTAAAAGATTAATAAAAACTAAAATGTAATAAATCAATAATAATAAAATAATCTTATTTCATGTCTCATTGTCGACCTTGGGGGGACATTTATTACAATCCATAATTCATGATTTTCCATAGCTTTCAGTAACTGGTCTATTCTCAGATTTGTATTATTAATTTATTAAGATTACTGTGTAGTTATAAAAAATGTAATATTCACCAAATAATTTCTGTCAGTTATACTTAATTTTCACAAACATCAGGCTATCAATAAGTCACTCAACACATTAGAAAGACAACACCTCTGTGTTAAAAGAAATACTTTCCACAATATTTTAAACTAAAAGTAATATTTATTTCAGATTAATTAAATCTTAAATCACCTAATTTTGCTAAAATAACATTTTTGAAAAGTATATTTTACTTTTGAAAGATTTTAAAATCCTGCCAATATGGATGAATTTATAGATTAAATAATAAGGAGAAAAAATTCCAATCAATTTAAATTCACTTTGAAATGCCCCAAAGCTTTTTGCTTATTGGAAATATTAAATTTAATATATTATCTTGCAATTAAAACAAATATTAAAGTTTCAAGAAAGATTTTTATATTTTTAAATGCATTTTAAAATGAACTATCACTTTTTTTAAAGTGTGTACAAATGCTATCATAAAATTCAGTTATAAATACTATCCTTCAATAAAAAATGGTTTGAATTCATTAATATTAATAATTTTGAGCAAACGAACAATTATGACATATCATTAAAATTACGTAAAATAAATGTGAGCTCTGTTTTACTATATAACCATGATTTTCTACCTTGCAGAGATGCAATCAACCTCATGGACAAAGACATCAACACATGTCCACTTAATGAAACAATTGTTCTGATTGAACAAATCATCAAAATGGTGATACAAGGCAAAATTCCTGCAAAAAAATAACCTGATTGGTAAGTGTTGTCATGAATTGCCTTGAATTTAATCCATTTTTAATCCAGTCCTTCAAATTACCATGGCCCAACATAATGATTTCATATGTACAAAAAGGTTACTAAACATTGGACAAATCTTAATTGGATGCAGTAAATTGAAACAGAAGGGAAAATAATGTCTTGTAGCAACAAGTGCAATTTTACTTCTAGACAAATTGTAGTGGTTTTGAAATATGAATATTGAAAGCCATATCAACTGTATACACAAAGAACATATTGACAACTGATAGTATTCAAAGTGTTATTCTAAAGTTGGAACTAATCTGTTAGTCTCCTCTTGGTATTGCCTTTATAAACCTGTCTTTTTAAGTTCATTCAAAAATTTATGCCATCAAGGACATATGGATATCCTTTTCAGTATCTCCTTACTCGGATGATACCAATCAATAATAACCTCTAAATAGAAGTGATCATTGCAGACATTCTCCTCTCTTTGTAAATTGGAAAGACTTGTATGACTCAATTATGAACTTTCTTATGGATATGAATTCATCATTATGTAAAATGCAAGAATCATGTGTTATATTTGGTAAACCACAATTCAAAATTTAATGATGTATAGAAATATTTTTATGGGTGATGCTGTTACATTTATTCAAACCTTACCAATCATCAGAGACCTTTTTAGTAATGTTGATTTCCCAAAATTAGTGGGAATGGATATTTATTTTGCAAAATTACAAAATTGTGGTAAAAGCTAGTTACTGATAATCATGCCCAACTTATTCATTACAATATACTCAATCTCCACAAGAACTAGTCCATCACCTCTCAATCCAACATATACCACAATACCACATATTCACAAGGAACCTACAAAACATCCCATGGCATTTATAAATGTTCATATCTCTTTTTAGTTTTTTTTTTTTTTTTTTTTTTACAAAAATATATAAAATTTATATACTAATGAAAACAATAAGGTAGAGAATGAACCCCAAAAATGAAACAAACAATACAACAAAATATCCAAACTAAAACAAAACAGATATTAGTAGGACCTGTCCACCTCTGAAAATAATAAGAGTGGCAAAATCAAGAAGCACACTCACTAATGGAGTGTGAAGGAAAAAATTAAATGTTGGAGTAGGAAAAAATCAGCTGAGATCAAAAAAGGGGACAAAAACAAACTGGTGAGGATGGGAATGTCAACATCGATCTCAAAAGAGATTACCAGGAACAGACTGGGAACAACACTTGTGAATAAGTCAAAATTAACTAGGAAAACAAGAAACAGTCTAACTTAACAAGGGGAGGGTTCAGAGGAATCTACCCCATTGTACTCAAAGAGAAAATCAAGGCTAGCCCCAATAATGCAAACCAGACCCACCACAGATACTCACCTTTAACTGCAGAGAATGTGAGACCAAAGGACACAAGCTGATTGGGAGCAATACGAGCTGCCAACTCGCCAACATAGTCCCAGAAAAAAAGTACCTGAGGACAATGGTAGAAGGTGTGTGAAACTGTTTATTCTAAACCAAGGTCACACTGATGATAGTCCAGCCCCGTCTGAAGGCTATATCATTGTGAGGTAGCACATTACAAATGAATCGCCATGTAAGTGAAAACCAAGGGTTGCTGAGCTAATTCACAGCTGGCACCCAAGACCAGAAAGAGCATAACTCTGATGCCAACAAGCCAAGCCAAGCTGACCACAAAGGAAGTCTATCACAACCCCATCCACTAGATAATGATACAAGGCCTTAAAAGGTCATTGGACTGATAGATCCCTTAAGACAGCCCAACAATCTCACAGGAATTTGATTGATTCCGAAGCTTATGATGGTGCTTAGCCTCAGAAACGGAGAGAGTGATAGCAATGCTAGAAAAGGCATTTATCAAAATTGAATCTTCTGACAGTGCACAGCATAGGAACACCAACCTTAAGGTGTGCCAATGGCACAAGTGCAGTATTCCCAGGCCCCCATGACATGGACGTTTGGCAACAGTCTCTCTATGGACCAGATGCTTGTGACCACCTCACAAGAGGGATGCCAACCAGTGCTCAAGTGCCTTCTTTCTGTTCTTGTAGAAAGGAAGTACAGCCGATCAATAAAAGATAATCAGAAAGATGTAAGTGGACAACCACTGTCGAAGCAAGTCTGAACCACCACTTCGACTGTTGACTGTACTTCAAACCAATTCTTTTTCAGCTGAATACTGAATCAAACCACACTTCAAGAATGTGGATGGGTCTGTCTCACTAAAGAGCCCTAGAAGGGGCACCTTTCAAGCACCTAACCACAAGCCAGATGAATTGTTGCAGTTAATTTCTCGTACCACTCAAATGCCTTCTGTACTTCCTCAATGTTGCTACGGTATGACACAAAAATAGGCACATCATTGGCATACACGGAAACCCTGGCTCAACATTCAGGGATGGTGATTTCATGCAGGACTACATGCCCTTAGCTGGCAAATAAGGGGCTCCAATGCCAAAGTGTAAAGTAAGGGTGACAAATCAACTGATACAGTGCAAAAGCGCTTGCCTGCTTTCCATTTACCTGTACCACAACACTGGGGGAGCGATACAGGAGGCTGATCCACCTGCAGAAGTCGGGTTTGAATCTGGCGGACTGCAGGAGAGCAACCAGGTCCTAAATACCTTGCAGTGATCTAAATTGATCAGTGTGGCTTTCATGTCATCTTCTATGATCGAGTGGATCAGATGCAGATGCTATGAATTGTTTGTCCCTGCAAGTCTGATCAGGTCCTAACAAGCTCGTGACAACTGACTGCAAACAGGATCTTGGCCAAAATCTTTAACTCTATGTTTAGCAGAGTTATTGGCCTATAATCATCTAATTCCGCCCAACAACTTTGGCCTTTTTCAACAGCGTGATCACACCCCTGGAGATCCAATCAGGGATGGCCCCCTGCTGAAGCCAGTTGTTGAATACTGTTGTCAAAATCAGAACAAAGATGTGCAGCAGCTTGAAGTACAATTCAGAGGGCAGACCATCAAGTTCCAGAGACTTGTCACTGCCAACCCTCTTCAATGCCAAGTGAATTTTGTCCTCTCTGATCTCACCTTTGCAACTAGCTGCTTCAGTTGATGAAAGCTGAAGAAAGTCAGCCAAAAGCTGTGAAACTCATCACCACTGAGACCAGGCTCCTTGGTAAATTGGCTATCAAAATGCCTCACACATGAAAGGGCATGTGTGAGGCATTTTGGGTTATTGACCTCATGAATATATCGATTGGAACCTTGACTGATCTCTTCCTTGCGCAATTCTGCACCCATATTCACAGCTTCATTAGACAATATTGTTTAACCTATGTCTAATTAACTGACTCTGGTAGCGCTTGCTGGCCTCACCCTCCAGAGCCTGTCTAGCTAGTGCAATCTTTAGGGAATCCCCTCTCTGCCTGGGACAGACTATCCTTTAGAGTATTCACCATCTCAGCCCTTATCTAAGGCAAGCCATTGGCTATATTTGGTGGGGAAAAACCTAATCCTATCCTTAAGGTTTTCTCACCACTTATTCCCAATAACCACTAATTCCTGTTGCACTAATCTAGTCAACTGTTGTTGGAAGTCCTGTCTGTCCAGTAAAGACAGATTGAACTTCCAGCATCCAGCCAGGAGTGGACTGGGACTTGGCAGGTACCAGGACCTTCTTCACCCTACTCTGACCAGCTCTCCTCTCTTTTTTGACGTATTTGAGATCCTCTTACTCTTTCTCATACCCTTTTCAGTGAGGAGACTCTTGGCGGTGGTATTTCCACTACTTCCATGTAGAGGTCAAGTTGCAACAACTCCAATCAGGCTGATCAGGTTGCTGCTGCTGCTCCTGACTCTGCTGCAGCTCTTTCTGTCTCTGCTGCTGCTTCTGCTGATGCTGCAGCTTAGGCTGCTCTCCTTGTTGTGGTTGTTGTGGCTGCTGCTGTGGCTCTTGCTATCGCTGCTGCTGATGATGACGTTGTGACTGTTGTTGCTGCGGCTGATGCAGCTTTGACTATTGTTGCTGCTGCTGATGCTTCTGTGCTGGCTTAGCAGCTCTCTGGGACATCCTGCTGGGGAGACAGAGTTACTACTTTTCTCTTCTTCCACCCTGGGCTGTTCTGGTGTTGGTTGAACATGTGGTGTCAGATTCCTGGTTGGCCACCACTTTGCCAGACAAAGATGTTTTGGTCACCCAGGTGATTTCATTGAACTTGAGTCAGGTCAATGTCACCATTATTTCACTGGTGGCAATGCCTGACTTACTTTTGATGGAGGACATTCCCTCCACGAGACTGTAATCTGAGAAGAATTGGTCCTCAATGATGTACATGGGTACCTCGTGTAGAGTAATCCATGTCTTCCAGGTGCCCTGTTTGGAGTCTCATCATCTTGATGATGAGGATACTCCTGGCTAATGACTTTGCTGCTTCCTCAGGTGCCAGGAGGATGTCCCACATAGCATTAGACCTCTGAGCCAACACTATCAAGGCTTTTAGGGCTTCTTCTATAGCCTCTCTGCTGACAGCCATAAATTTTCTCAACTTGATGTCAGCTGTCAACAGCCTCCATAACCGAAAGCATAGGCCAGAGATGAATGCACTGTATTCATCTCCTAGGCCATTGTAGTAGTCTGTCCCTTTTTGAGGCCTTTCTGCTGTCCATGCCAAAGTTGATGGCTGGGTGGCCATGGTTCATTTTGCTGGGGAGATTAGGCCATTGTGGCCATGTTCATGGCTTCACCAGAGCACCAAAACAGAGAAAAATTCCAAAAAACTGGAGCACAAAAACACAGAAAAGTTCCAAGAAACTGGATTTTAATAATACACATAAAAAAACAAGAAGGACAGTGACAAACATAAACAAAGATGACCCTCACAATAATAGGTTTTCCAACTTCAAATTCTTCCAAAAAAGGAAATCAAAACTCCCAAAATGAGGGCAAATGATTGCAAAAGTTTTTACCCCTCTCTCTCTTATAGTCAGAAATACATGAAATGCATGCTAGGATATTTTTCTTAGCCAATAAAATGGGACAGCTTGCGTTTTGACATGACTCAGTCTAGATCTGACTTAACTACTAGACAGACCTACTATGTTCACTTGTCTGACTTTGTTTTTGTGTACAAACACCAACTCATAGTTTGGGAATTCTTCTCCCCTCTTACATAAGTATGAATACAGAAAAAATTTTTATTTAATAGAAATAAATCCCATTTATCCATTTTAATGGTTGAAAAAAGTATTCATACAATACAAAAATGAATACATAATCTTCATTTGTAGAATAGCCATTATTCACTTTTACAGCAACCAACCTCTTCTTGTACTTCTCAATTGATGATTTGCAAATTTTAGTTAGTATTTTGTTCCATTCTTATTTGCATATGGTCTTCATATCCAGGATGTTTGTTGGAGTTCTCAATTGGATTTGAATTTTCAAATAATGCCACAGATTCTCAATTAGGTTTAAATCTGGGGACTGACTTGGCCATTTCAGAATATTTACATTATTTTTAACAATTTATTTGTAGATTTTGCAGTATGCTTAGGATCATTACTTTTTTGGAAGGTTCAATCAGGAGGAAGTTCAAAATTTTCAACAAAAGTCATTAAATTTGCTTCCAAAATATTTTGATATACTGCGGCATTTATTCTACCATCTATTACTGATATGTTACGAGTACGTTTTACAGAAAAACACTCCCAAACCATGGTGCAGCTACCACCAAAGTTCACTGTTGGAACTCTGTTCTTTTGTTTGAAGGCATCACCATCTTTCCTCTATACATGATTTCTAGAATTACATCCAAACAACTCAATTTTGTTTTTGTCTGTCCATAATACTCTTTCCCATCTTTATGTTCACAAACGAATTTCAACTTAGCATTTCTGTGTCTTTTCATAGCAGTGGAGTTTTCCGAGGGGAGCATGACTTTAGATTGCTCATATGAATTTCATTGCTTATTTCAATAAGCAATGAAATTGTCATTTAGTGACACAGATTCCTAATGAAAGCAAATCATCCTGCAACTCTTCAAGAGTAATCATTGGATTTTAATTTGACACATTCATTTCCTTGAATATCCTGAAGAAATCTTTCATGGAGCACCTGTCCTTTTTTGGTTTTCAACAGTTTTGAGTTTTTTGTACCTTACAATGAATGAAGTAATGATAGTAAATGGAATATTCAGGTTTTCTGATATTTTACTGTAAGTTTTCCTTTCTTAACAATCAGTTCTTTTTGTGAATTTGTCAAATCTTTACCTCTTGCCATGATGATAACCTTCTTGCACTAATATCAATTACAGAATGTTCTGTTTGTATTTTTAGGCTAAAAATAACTACTGATAACATTATTGGAACATTCTAGAATAGTCCACTTGAATAATCTAGAGTATTAAAACAATTTAAAATTTTCAAATCTGAAATTTGCATTGTATGAATACTTTTTTCACCCATGGGATTTATTTCTATTAAATCAAATTTTTTTCTGTTTTCTATGCATATTTAGTTGTTATGCATCTGTGTACAGTTAATTATATGAAAAGTATGTTTATTCATTAGTTGGAAATACAATAAATTAAAAATTTGTATGTGTACAAATATTTGTATCAGTTGCATAATAAAATCTGATATGGTATATATTATATTGACTTTAATTTATTTTAAATGCATTATTACTATTTTTTATTGAATTTATTGATGAAGTGGGAAAAAATTGCATTAATTTCAATTTCTTTTTTGCAGACTTATTAAACAACACAATACACACTATTTTAAGCCCAGAAGATATAGCAAAAATGACAAATTCAAGAGATGGAATCATTTATTTGGTAGTAAGTATTATCATTAATTTTTCTTCACAAGTGTGGTAACTGGTGGCTTTCCATCAAATAAAAAGCAAGTTTTTATAACAATTTCAGAATTTTCCTCAATCTTTTTGTTGATTTTATTAATGCTGGTGTGTGCTTGATTTGAATTCTTCTGCTGCCTGACAGTTTTCTTCTACATTCCTCTGTTGTGAGCATTGAAAGTACTCCAAAAACTGATATCCAATCAATAAGGATAGTTCTGTCAATTGTTGCAGCAGATAAAATTATGTATAATAATCAGGATATATCTGTATCTCTGAATATGATAATAACAACATATATATCTGACAATATCAACATATATATGCTTGTGTATTTTGATTATCTGGTATGCTAAACAAGTTTTTGACCAATTTCTTATGTCAACTGACATGTTTAGCCTAACAAAACATTCAGTAATTAACTTCACAGTTCCACATTTGCTGGGATGTGACAATTCATGGAAGTGTTGAAATATTTGTTGTTTCAACCTTTGAGGTATATAGGGCTGTGGTTGTGTCACAATAAAATTTGGTATCACTGGTAATTCAGCTAACTTTTGTGGTGTGCTTTATTTGACTTCTTCTAGTGAGTTTGCTCTTTTGCAATTAATTTGTAGTCCAAAGAACTAGAATATAAAGATTCAATTGTGGCATATGACACTATATTTTCTTGACCTGCCACATATCTTTTGAAAATTGGGAGATATAATCTCGGTTTCTAATTTCTCGTGGACTATATTTGTCAGTGTGTGTATGCAATGGTTTGTGGTCTGTGCATATAGATCAATGGTTTGTGGTTTGTGTATATAGTGAATTCTCTGGTGGCGCTGTAAATGCTTAATTGAAAATTGTTGAATACTTCCAGTTTCTCGCCTTGCAATGTAATATTTTTATTCTTGCTCACAAGTAAATTTGTCAAAGGCAAAAATACAGGAGAGGAATTTAGTACAAATCACTTGTAATAATTTACAAGGCTTATAAATCTGTGTAAGTGTCATAGTGAAGTTGGTTGCAGGAAATTTTGGATTACCTCTATTATATCTGTCAAAGGGAAAATACCTTCTTGGTCAATTAATCAGCTTGGGTTCTCCAAAGATACATTTGTGTGCATTAATTTTTATTCAAAAGTGTGAAAGTCTCTGGGAGGTTTGTTCTGTATCTCTAGTGGCAATTAAAACATCAGCCATGTATGTGTAAACAAAATATAAGCTTCAGGAAACTTCATCTATCAGACGTCGAAATGTTTGAGCCACATTTTGAAATCCAAAAGGCATCCATACAAACTCCATATAATCCAAACAATGTAGCAATAACAGTTTTATTGATGTGCTCTTCAGCCACTGGTACTTGATAGTAAATCTTTACAATATCTAACTTTGTGAAAATGTGGGAACTTTTGTAAACCAATGACAAAATTGTGTATATGTGTGTGCAAAAATTGGTTAGATTCACACACACAGGAAAAGAAAGTGGGGGAAAGTAGTTGCCTAGTGAACCAATAGGTTCACTAGGCAAAAGAAATCCACACTTCTCTTTGCATCTCAATAACCAATATGCCACTCCCTGTCGGAAGCAAAAAGCGAACTCCTGTTTTTATGCACCTGACCCAGCCAGCGCTCAGCCAATGACCACTCAGAATCAGCCAATAAAAATGACACCATCAGCACAAAGTGCTGCCTGATTCCCTGTCTGTTCAAAGCTCGCTGTCTCTACACTCCCTTGCAAAACATACTCGCGACTCTGGCCCTTTTGGGTTGCTTAAGTCACTGCTACAATGAGTAACCAGGTATCTGGTGTTGTGATAGCATTCAATCTAGGGAAATCATTATAAGGAGGCCATGCTCTTCTGTTTGGCTTAGGAACCATGTGCAATAGTGATGATCAATGAACCATTTGATGGTCATATAATTCCCATCTGCCTTGGCTATCTTGCCAGGCTTCAGTTGTCTTGAAGTATAGTGTACCAGTTTTCGTCTCTCTCTGCTAAAATGTTAAATATGTAAATTAATGTATTTTCCTATATTAGTTTCCCCAAAATGTGGTATAAACCAAATAAATAAACCAGTAAAATATTTAGGATTTAGATAATCTTTTTCTTATGAAGACAGTTTTTGTGTGACAGGAAATAAACTAAACACAGCAAGTTTTCTTAATAAATCCACTTAATACATCAATTCAGACAGTTACATAAACTGATACTCTTAGTTGAACTGACTACTTGCTTGATAAGTGGTCCTATTATTTATAACTGGCATGCAAATGTAGTAGTAGCCACATCAATATGTGCAAATATTTAACAGAAAACTGCTCAGCTTTATTCTAAAGTGTGTTACTTGAAGAATATAAAATTTCTAATAACTTCATAAATATACATGCTTTAAAATTGAAACTTAAACTGTATTTTAATATATTGCATATAAATATGAATAATAATATGTACTAATTGTTTATGAATGAAATTGATGATTAATGAATTTGTTCTTTTCAAGTTTCAAAGGATAATGGCTGCTCTGAAATTAGTCAACATGAATATGACTGAAGATTTGGTGAAAGCGCTTTGTGTGCAGAATCAATGTTACAAAACTTTCTGATATCAATGAAAACGTTCTTAAGTAAGTATATTAAACAACAGTACACATGAATGCATGTTACCAAATGACAATTAAATGAAAGTGTTGCTTGTTTTTTTCATATGTGGGTGTGAACTGAATGCTTCTAATTGATAAGCACTTTGCTTTTATTCAACTGTTTTCTTAAATCCAGTTTCTTTTACTCTATATTACTCTTAAGAGCAATGTCAAACATAGGTACCTCAAAAAATTAGCTAAAAATAAGAATGATGCATGAAAAAATGGCCCAAACATAATAAAAATAAAATTTCAATGTCCAAATCTTTGTGCAATTCTTGGGAGAAAAGATTAAAGGATTTGACATAAAAATAGTTTTTCTATTTGTTAAATATCGTTTCAAAAAAATAAACAACAATGTATTGCCGATGAGGTAGAAAGAAAAGGAGACAAGATATGCTAAATTAGAAATTAGAATTAACTGTATTATGAATGTATACATTAAATCAAGGGTAGAATGTCTCTTGTGGGTGAGGAAGATGGTGTTTGTGAGTGAAGGAATCTGGGCTTCAATATGGGTATGATGGTTGTATCTTGAGTTGAAGTGTGTGGTGAAAGGAAGTTGTTGGCCTAACCTTATGTCAAGTCTGTTGATAAAAAGAACAGCTGTGAACTGTTGCTTAGATTTAAATTTTCTGAGTTGCATGCAATGTTTAGAGCCCATGCACAGAGAGAAACTGTTTTATTGCTTGCTACCATAATGTTCAAATCTGTCCGACAGGTTTTAATACAAAGTGTACCAGAAAAGTTTAACTTGAAGTAGAGTATAACATATTCTTTATAGAACTAGAGAAATTTTAGCTAAAAAATCATTGGGGTGGGGTGTTAAAACCTGATATTGGATTTGTACAGGAGACTTGAGCATTTTTTATTTTCTTTTTTGAAAGACATATTGACTTGGAAAGATTTTAACTGAACTTTCAAGGCTTATTCAGATATGAATTAACTTAAGAGATATGAGAAATCCTTTTTTGTATTGCAAAATACTTATTTTTTTATGAAGATAAGTTTTTTGGAGAATTTAAATCATCAAAAGGTTTTGTCTAAACATAACCCACAGTGGTAGAAAATCTTCCCTGAGTCATAAAATAAAAAAAAATGCATTAACACTAAGACATTTTTATTTGAAAAGAGTTTAATTGCTTTTATGAATAAAATATATTCTAGACACTATTGTCTTGAGAAAAAAATGTTTCCCCTGAACAATGAATTTTAAAAGAATTATTTTATAGCATGTTTTTTCTCAATTTTAATGTGAATAATTTGTAAACTTTTAAATCTTTTAAAATTCTGTATCAATTGGAAGTGGCTAAATGTTATTGTTATTAAATTAAATTAAAACTGTATTTACTAATGATCAATGGAAATGCTCCCTATAAATCAACAACCACCAGTATTTCAAAAAGAAATTTTTGTGTATCTATAAAGCCTTGATTTTTGTAAATACAGACATCCATGTAGAACATTATCAGTAAAAATGCTATGGGTTTCAAATATTGTTTTCTTTATAAACCACTGTATGCTTTTCCATTTAAGATATAAAAGTGTAAATAATTTCATAAATAATAAAATTTTAAATACTATAAAACTCTCATAAACAATGATAAATAATTTGAAAATTCAGAACTGGGATGATATAAAAATTAATAATAAAAAATAATAAGTAATAGAATAATAAAATTTAATAATTAAAAAGATTAATAAGTAAAAGATTAATAAAAACTAAAATGTAATAAATCAATAATAATAAAATAATCTTATTTCATGTCTCATTGTCGACCTTGGGGGGACATTTATTACAATCCATAATTCATGATTTTCCATAGCTTTCAGTAACTGGTCTATTCTCAGATTTGTATTATTAATTTATTAAGATTACTGTGTAGTTATAAAAAATGTAATATTCACCAAATAATTTCTGTCAGTTATACTTAATTTTCACAAACATCAGGCTATCAATAAGTCACTCAACACATTAGAAAGACAACACCTCTGTGTTAAAAGAAATACTTTCCACAATATTTTAAACTAAAAGTAATATTTATTTCAGATTAATTAAATCTTAAATCACCTAATTTTGCTAAAATAACATTTTTGAAAAGTATATTTTACTTTTGAAAGATTTTAAAATCCTGCCAATATGGATGAATTTATAGATTAAATAATAAGGAGAAAAAATTCCAATCAATTTAAATTCACTTTGAAATGCCCCAAAGCTTTTTGCTTATTGGAAATATTAAATTTAATATATTATCTTGCAATTAAAACAAATATTAAAGTTTCAAGAAAGATTTTTATATTTTTTAAATGCATTTTAAAATGAACTATCACTTTTTTAAAGTGTGTACAAATGCTATCATAAAATTCAGTTATAAATACTATCCTTCAATAAAAATGGTTTGAATTCATTAATATTAATAATTTTGAGCAAACGAACAATTATGACATATCATTAAAATTACGTAAAATAAATGTGAGCTCTGTTTTACTATATAACCATGATTTTCTACCTTGCAGAGATGCAATCAACCTCATGGACAAAGACATCAACACATGTCCACTTAATGAAACAATTGTTCTGATTGAACAAATCATCAAAATGGTGATACAAGGCAAAATTCCTGCAAAAAATAACCTGATTGGTAAGTGTTGTCATGAATTGCCTTGAATTTAATCCATTTTTTAATCCAGTCCTTCAAATTACCATGGCCCAACATAATGATTTCATATGTACAAAAAGGTTACTAAACATTGGACAAATCTTAATTGGATGCAGTAAATTGAAACAGAAGGGAAAATAATGTCTTGTAGCAACAAGTGCAATTTTACTTCTAGACAAATTGTAGTGGTTTTGAAATATGAATATTGAAAGCCATATCAACTGTATACACAAAGAACATATTGACAACTGATAGTATTCAAAGTGTTATTCTAAAGTTGGAACTAATCTGTTAGTCTCCTCTTGGTATTGCCTTTATAAACCTGTCTTTTTAAGTTCATTCAAAAAATTTATGCCATCAAGGACATATGGATATCCTTTTCAGTATCTCCTTACTCGGATGATACCAATCAATAATAACCTCTAAATAGAAGTGATCATTGCAGACATTCTCCTCTCTTTGTAAATTGGAAAGACTTGTATGACTCAATTATGAACTTTCTTATGGATATGAATTCATCATTATGTAAAATGCAAGAATCATGTGTTATATTTGGTAAACCACAATTCAAAAATTTAATGATGTATAGAAATATTTTTATGGGTGATGCTGTTACATTTATTCAAACCTTACCAATCATCAGAGACCTTTTTAGTAATGTTGATTTCCCAAAATTAGTGGGAATGGATATTTATTTTGCAAAATTACAAAATTGTGGTAAAAGCTAGTTACTGATAATCATGCCCAACTTATTCATTACAATATACTCAATCTCCACAAGAACTAGTCCATCACCTCTCAATCCAACATATACCACAATACCACATATTCACAAGGAACCTACAAAACATCCCATGGCATTTATAAATGTTCATATCTCTTTTTAGTTTCTTTTTTCTTTTTTTTTTTTTACAAAAATATATAAAAATTTATATACTAATGAAAACAATAAGGTAGAGAATGAACCCCAAAAATGAAACAAACAATACAACAAAATATCCAAACTAAAACAAAACAGATATTAGTAGGACCTGTCCACCTCTGAAAATAATAAGAGTGGCAAAATCAAGAAGCACACTCACTAATGGAGTGTGAAGGAAAAAATTAAATGTTGGAGTAGGAAAAAATCAGCTGAGATCAAAAAAGGGGACAAAAACAAACTGGTGAGGATGGGAATGTCAACATCGATCTCAAAAGAGATTACCAGGAACAGACTGGGAACAACACTTGTGAATAAGTCAAAATTAACTAGGAAAACAAGAAACAGTCTAACTTAACAAGGGGAGGGTTCAGAGGAATCTACCCCATTGTACTCAAAGAGAAAATCAAGGCTAGCCCCAATAATGCAAACCAGACCCACCACAGATACTCACCTTTAACTGCAGAGAATGGGGGTGATAGACTGTCACACACGTATGTGAGACCAAAGGACACAAGCTGATTGGGAGCAATACGAGCTGCCAACTCGCCAACATAGTCCCAGAAAAAAAGTACCTGAGGACAATGGTAGAAGGTGTGTGAAACTGTTTATTCTAAACCAAGGTCACACTGATGATAGTCCAGCCCCGTCTGAAGGCTATATCATTGTGAGGTAGCACATTACAAATGAATCGCCATGTAAGTGAAAACCAAGGGTTGCTGAGCTAATTCACAGCTGGCACCCAAGACCAGAAAGAGCATAACTCTGATGCCAACAAGCCAAGCCAAGCTGACCACAAAGGAAGTCTATCACAACCCCATCCACTAGATAATGATACAAGGCCTTAAAAGGTCATTGGACTGATAGATCCCTTAAGACAGCCCAACAATCTCACAGGAATTTGATTGATTCCGAAGCTTATGATGGTGCTTAGCCTCAGAAACGGAGAGAGTGATAGCAATGCTAGAAAAGGCATTTATCAAAATTGAATCTTCTGACAGTGCACAGCATAGGAACACCAACCTTAAGGTGTGCCAATGGCACAAGTGCAGTATTCCCAGGCCCCCATGACATGGACGTTTGGCAACAGTCTCTCTATGGACCAGATGCTTGTGACCACCTCACAAGAGGGATGCCAACCAGTGCTCAAGTGCCTTCTTTCTGTTCTTGTAGAAAGGAAGTACAGCCGATCAATAAAAGATAATCAGAAAGATGTAAGTGGACAACCACTGTTGAAGCAAGTCTGAGTTTGGTACACTAAAGTCCTGCTTTATCTAAGAACCCAATTGTCATCAGTATCTCTGGTGATGATCAGTTGCAGAACTCTTCAGAATGCATAAGCAGGTGATAGCTGGCAAAGTTAAACAAGACTGCTAAGTACACAAACAAGCGGAAACAGCACAGTATGAACAAGAAAATCCATCATAGAAAGAAGCCTATGACATCCACATTCAAGGAGTGTTGGAGGTGATCTCATGGCGTTGTTGTCAACCTGAGTAAGTTGTCCAAACATTGGGTGAAAAGTTCTGGATGTCATTTCTGGCAATGAAAAAGAGGTGGAAAAAGGAAAAGTTCCAAAAACCTACAATCCTTACAGAATTTTAGAGCATCATTAGGATGGTTGATATGCCCACAAAGTTCATCAAGATCATAGCTACAATAAATGAGTCCTTATATCATATATATTATATATGTAAGGAAGCAAAAGGAGTGGTTATGTAACCAGTCACAAAAAAAGCCTTCTAAATTATCAAAGATAAGCTTACCTTTATTGATGCTCCAGGAAACTATGATCCCAATAAATAGAGTATTATGGATACTGCCAAGCTAGGACAATTTTACTGCAAGACTTTGAGGATATAACTGCAGTAGCTATCAATAGAGCACCAGCAATGATTGGCTTTTAAAGAATGTGCTGCCTCACTCAAAGAAATGGTTCCAAAAGTCTGTACTATTCATTGTGCATTACATAAATACCACCACAAGAAGTTAAGGGAGGACTGCAAGAAAAAAAATGATGAAATATTGAATCAATTACTCTTGCATTCTGATGTTGTCAAGAGATAGTAGATTGGAAAGATTTGCTGACTTATATGACTCAATTATGAACTTTCTTATGGATATGAATTCATCATTATGTAAAATGCAAGAATTATGTGTTATATTTGGTATACCATGATTCAAAATTTAATGATGTATAAAATATTTTTATGGGTGATGCTGTTACATTTATTCAAGCCTTAACAATCTTCAGAGACCTTTTTAGGATTCAGTAATGTTGATTTCCAAAAACAAAGCCACTAAGGTGTAAGGGAATACTGAGTGTGAAAGAATAGTAGAAAAGAAAATATAAAACAAAGAGAACAATAAAAGAACATGAATTTAGAAGACAAATTATAATGATTACATTTAAATTTTTGAAGATTAAAGTTAACTAGAAAGAAATAGGTTGGGAAAGACAAGTGAGAAGTGTTAGAGAAGAAACTGTTAGCATAAAATTTTCAGTTATTTCAATTGTAAAATGATAGGACCTAGCTGTCGATCTAGTGCTGTGCTTAAATTTGTGAAGAATCTCTTATTGATTTTTATGCATTTGATTTAAATTTTCATTTCTCTTCCTGGGCTTCACTATATCCATAAACCTCTTGTGTGTTCTTGAAATCAACTGTTGGCTACTATCTGGTGGTTCACTAATCATCTTTGCAACTATTTTTCTCCATGTTTATTATTACAGGTTCCTAGTCCAAATTTGCCAACTATTTCACCCTATCAGTCATTCCCTATCGTTATATATAGTCCATCATCACTATCAATGTAATCTGAGTATTATTTCCCCTTATTTCCCTTTCATCATAGAAGCTCAAAGAACACGTATGATAGTGTCTAATAAAATATCCTGCTTGATTCAGACGTCTTTTCATCACTCTTGCTATTCAGTTTTCTTATACTAACCAAATTGTTTAACCATGATTGCTAATAAAACATGGTGTCAGAGTGATAATGTCAAAAGTTTAAAGAACTCATATCCTACAGTGATATCAGAAGAATTTTAAATCATACTTCAAAGAAAAAAAAGACAAAATGGAAAAGTTACCACATCGGAAAAGCTTTTGACTTCAATCAAAACACTTTAGCCACAGCATGGAAGGAATGAAAAAAAAAATTTAACCTCTTTTTACTAGCAACAGAAAGTGGCACAAAGCCAGGTAAAGTCAAAACCTCAATTTTCTTGATTTGCATTGGTCCCAAAGCCCATAACATTCATTCCATATTCAATTTTGATACACCCGACGAAGAAATGAACCTTCAAACTGTAATAAAAAATAATCTGACGCATATTGTGAATTGAGAAAGAATATAACATTTCTCAGGCATAAATTTTTCACATGCACACCATGCACAGTACATCAGAAATTTGATGAATATGTGGTAGAATTGCACCAAAAAGCACAACAGCATGAATTCGGTGATCTTACAGATAGTCTCACCAGAGACATTTTAATATATGGTATTACAAATTTAAGATTAAGAGAACATTTTCTGAGAGAAGCAAACATGGATTTACAGAAGACAATACAAGTAGGTCAAAGTGCAGAAGAAACAAGATGTCAATCGAAGATGCTGATTGCTACACCTAAAACATGAAATAGCGAAGTCTCAGCAATACAATTTCAACATGACAGAAAAGGTGCCAAAACTCAAAGAAGCTACCATATTCACTCAAGACATCACAATGAAGAAGACAGAAATGAAAGATAGCCCGCGAAAATTGAGACGCCAAGTCAATATTATATCAATAACTGTCATTGTTGTGGTGACTCACACCAAAGAAAAAAGTGTACAACATTTCACTTTATAAGAACATACAAATAGACTACAAGTTTTTGAATGACTCTGTAAACACGGATTGAAATTAAACAAATCAAAGTGCATTTTTAAAGCTTCACAATGCTGGACATTTAATAACGAGTGAAGGATCAAAGCCAAACCCAACTAAAGTCAAAGCAATTGTTGATATGCCACTACCTACATGCAAAAAAAACTTGCAGAGATTTCTAGGTATAATGAATTACCTGTGTAAATTCCAATCAAACTACTCCGAAGTTACAGCACCATTATGGTAGCTTCTACAGAATGACATTCGACAAACCTCAAATTACAGCAATAAAGAAGCTAAAGGAAATGATTACCAGGCAACCAGTGCTACAATTTTATGACCTGGATCTACCATTAAAAATAACTACAGATGCTAGTAACCATGGACTCAGAACAGTACTGGAAGAAAAACACAACAAAAAATGACTACCTATTTCATTTGCATCATGAACTACAACTTCAGCAGAACAGAATTACTGTCATATAGAGAGCAAAACACTTAGCATAGTCTTTTTGCATGTAAGAAATTTCATCAGTTCATATACAGCACTCATTTTCTAATCAAAAATAATTATAAACCATTAAAACAAATCTTTAGAAAAACAATCACCCCAGGATTCCAAGATTTCTGTTAGCACTAAAAAGGTACGATTTTGACCTGAACTATGTACCTGGTAAAAATCTATTATTGCTGATACACTATCTCATGCTTACCTTGAACAAAATAGTCCAGAAATACCAGACACAGGTATGAAAGCACACATACATGCAGTAATAAAAAATTAGCCCATGAACAATATCAAACTTAATGAATATAAGAAAGCCACTGCAGACAACTAGATACCACAGACACTCATCATATATACAAGAAGAGAATGGCCTTCAAAAGACAAAATACCAATCAATATTCAATTATTCATCTCTGTTTGTCATGAAATATTAATTGTCAATGGATTCATTTTAAAAGGTTCAAGAATTATTGACCCTACATTGAAAGAGAAGCTCCACAAAAAATTTGTACTGGACACATGGGAATTGAAAAGTGCACAGAACAATCCAAGGAATGTATATACTGGTCCAGCATCAATGCTCATATCAAATATATGATTAATACATGCTCATACTGCATTGATTATAAAAATCAACAACCAGCTGAACCACTGAGAAATCATGAAATTCCCACTACTCCTTGGACCAAAGTAAGTACGGACATATTTCACTTGTTTGGAAAATCTTATGTTACAATCATTAATTATGCCACAAAATTTTTTGATCTACATAAAATAAAAGATTGTCAGACAAAAACTGTAATCAAATGACTAAAAGACACTTTTGCCAAATTCAGCATTCTGAAAACAGTTGTCAGTGACAACAGAACAGAATTCAATTTGGCAGAATTTAAGACATTTGCAGAAAAATGGCATTTTCATCACATTTGAAGATAGTTTAGGTTTGTACTTACAAGCCTAAATTATCCTCAAGCAAATTGCATGGTAGTAAGAAATATACAAATGATTAAAAAGACATTGAATAAAGCATTTAAAAGTGGTGAAGAACCACAACCAGTGCTTTTAGTGCTATGCACATCACCACTAAAAAATGATGCACCATCTTCTGCAAAACAACTAATGAATAGAACATTATGGACAGATCTCCCAAACATACTTCATAGCAAAATTTCTTTCTATGCACAAAAGGAATCAGAAATGTCAACAAAACTCTCAGAATTAAAACCACATGACACTGGGAGAATCAAATTTGAGAACAATTAGTTTAGAAAGGGTAAAATCATCAAAAAACTAGGACAACCTCAATCATATTTGGTATTAACCGAGGAAGGGAATATGGTCAAAAGGAATAAATGCCATCTACTCAAAACAAAAGAAAACATTCATGTAACGAAAGAAATAGATTATGAAAATATACTCCCAAAGTCAACAAACACACATGACCACAGACACCTCAACTACAAAATTCAACATTTCAGAATGTTAGTACTACAAGAAGTGGACAACAAATAATTCTCCCCTGCAGATATGGAAAAACAATAGAATAAAATAAATATTTCTAAAAAAAAATAAAAGAAAGATGTCCATCATCACTATCAATGTAATCTGAGTATTGCCTCCCCTTATCATAGAAGCTCATTGTGCGGAAGCTTATGGTGTGGAATTCTCCTGTGCTTGATTGTATGATTCTAATAAAATATCCTGTTTGATTCAGATGTGTCTTTTCATCTCTTTTGCTATTCCATCTTCTAGCCATGTTGTTTAATCATAATTGCCAATATAACACCTACTTTGGCATTAAGGTCCCCAAAGACAGTTATAATTTCCTGTGATTGAGCCTTGGCAATGTCCAGAAAACTTTTCAGTTTCTTCTTCTCTACATTGTGCTGTTAGTGCATATACAACTATGATGGATATATTAAAAGGCTTCCCTTTCAGTTTAGATATGAGAATTGACAGTATCCCAGAACATTTTTCATATCTTTGTCTATTATGAGTTCTACTTCCCTGTTATTTTTCTCCCTGCCTGCATATATGATCCTGTGTCTGACACTAATACAATCTCCATTATTTACCCACATAGTTTTGAATACACCTAAAATATTAACCTTAAACCTAGTTATTTCCTGTTTTATATTTTCCAACTGGTTACATTGATTTAGTATTCTGATGTTTTAAAATTATATTTTATTTGATGCAGACAGTTGCTGGATCACTCTCTGGTGACGCCTATCACTCATGTCTTTCATTTCAGGCACTTGGAAAGGGTACACCATCTTCTAATATCTTACCACGGCCTTATCAGGATTGTTACATTTAATCTTGATCAATAGCTTAATATCTTTGTCATAGACACAAAGATAATCATGTCATTTGCACAAACCCTGACATGAAGAAACCTATTCTACACAAGATTTGCTATGCTGCTTCTTCTCTAAGATTGCATTAAAAGAGTTCCAGTGTCAGAAGGCAACATCATTTTATATAATTGAAATAATATTTACAAAAATTCTGCTAACACAGACCAAGTTGACTCAACAACACTCAAACTCATTTACTATTCATGTGCATTATTCAATGAAATTGAAACAAAGAAAAGCACCCGGGTGACCTTTTGAGAAACTGATAATCAACTCTATCAAATGTCTTGGACAGATCCAAATAGATCCGTGCATTGTCTTCTATCCCTTCTATGGTAAATCACACCAGATACAAATTGTCAAAGAAATACTAAACGAAAGAAAGACTAGACAAAAATGAACTATAATTGACAATGATTTATTTGAATTTGATTAAACGTGCAGGTAGTTCATGAGGATCTAGATCGAATGTTTTTCTTTTTGTTTAATAGAGTAATAGGTTATGGCTACCACTCTATGTAGTCACCAATGCAAAACAACCCTGCTTCAGAGTTTTCAGAATGTTTAAGTTGGCCATATAGCTACAAAATTCCTGCTAACACAATCCAGAATTTCTGGTTAGCACACAAATACTGGTCATTATGAGAGGAAGCATGAAACTAATTAACCCAAGCACTTCTAGTAAATGATATGAATGCCTTTATGCACTTGGCCATGACTAAGTAGATAACAATTCAGAGACTCAGGAGAATATTTAACACCACTCTATGCAGTCACCTCAACAAAGATTTACACCAGAATAAAATATGATTGGCATACAATGACCCCTGCATCTGTGAAAAGAAATACAAATTTGAAACAAAATCAAAATTCATAATTTGTGGAAAGACTATGACATCAAAACATATGTAGGGAAAGAAGAGAACATCGCAGCTCTTTAGAATAAAATCAGAATAAACAAGGACCAACACTGCAATGAAACAATGATATGCTGTGCTTGCAAAATCAAAGTATTAATCCTATATATAGTGATGAATAGCCTTTAATTAGAAGAGAGAAGACAATAGGGTTTAAAGTTACAAAACTAAACTTCAAAGGCAACATTTCCTGTTTAAACACTTGATGAAGACTGGATATTACAGTAGTTGAAATATTGTAATAAAAAAGGTTCAAAAGAATAATTTTATTTTAACAAAAATGACTTGTATAAAAAATATGACAGTTATTTATCTTTTCATCTCCTTCTGTGCAAACCTGTATGTATATGCAAACCTGTATGTATGTGTTAAAGGAACCTTTTTGAAAACATATCCTGTTTGGTTTTCTTTTGTAACTTATAACTTTATATTTTTCAGATTTTTTCACTTCAAATATCTTTAAACTATTTGCAGAAATTTTCGATATTTCTGATTCTGAGGTAAGAAAAATATTAGTAAACTGATTTAATACTTATCAATAGGACTGATTAACACATATTCACATATATATGTGTGTGTGTGTGTGTGTGTGTGTGTGTGTGTGTGTGTGTGTGTGGTTAAAAACTACAGATTAAAAAAAAATTCTTTTTATATATATATTTTGAACAAGAGTAGAGGTTTATCCCTTGTTTAGATGCTGTCCCAATAAAAGCACTCAACCTTCTGAACTATGAACAGGATAATAAGATTAGATAGGTTCATCTATATCATGGTTCACACTTTTTCCACATCTATTGAGCAGGAGCAGAAATTATTCCTTGTTTAAGGTATTGCTTCTGGTTTCATTTTTCAAATCTTTAATGAAAATCTTACCATTTGTTGATATGACTGATCAATAGCTATATCTCTTCCTTTTGAGGGTTAGTAGTTTTCTGGTTGCTGAAGCCCAAACACTTTGGTAGCACATAGAGAGGCTGTTCAGATCAAGCCATATAATATTTGGCTTTTTTATGCAGTGCCATGTCATGCAGAGAATAGGTACTCCTGCAAGCACTTCTAGTGGGTAACCCTGAGACAACATCATGTCTTAGCTACCTTCTGTTCAATTTGCATTGCCTTAAACGATATATGGTAACAATCATATTGGCCTTTTTAAATTTTTAAATTTCCTATGAATGCAAGAACTAAAATTAATAATACAAGTAAACCAGTTTGCAAAAATCACTGAAAGCCTTCAAACTTTTTTTCTCCAACCTTTGTGGTATTCATATCAATTTCTGTAGTGTTGAATCTTTTCTCTTGAAACATTCTCCATAAAGGATTTTACAGTATACATACATGGCCTTGGAGTTTATATTCAAGAAAATCTTATTATGGCAAGGGAATTATCTCTTGAAACACCAGATGATTCTTTCATGTACTTTCAGCTCTCATTATTGCACACAGTTAGTTATCTCTTTTTCCTTTATTGCTCCCCTTCCACTCAGGACTGTAATAGACAAAATATCTAACAGTATAGAAATGACTCTTTCTCTACATTAATCTGTGAACATCTTTGTGCTTGGAGATTTTAATGTGCATCATGTAACATGGCTTCATCATTCTAATACTACTGAACTGATTAAATCAGACTTAATTTTTCCATTGCCCATTCTGCCAGTTAGTTGACTTCCCTACAAGTTTTATTTATAATTCTGACTAACATGCCTCCATACCCTATTTGTTCCTTATTTCCTCTCCTGTCTTTTGTTGGACTTTTCAACTCTGTCCCTTGTCAATTTAGATTATGCTGTAGATTCCATTGATATTTCCTTTGACTCATCTATTAAGCATTAATTCCTTATTCACAAGACCAGTGTGCTGATTGTGATTCATTTCATGATTTTCTTTGTGCTGCCCCTTGGAGTGAAGTTTTTAGGCTTCTTACTGATAATTGTGCCTCTAAAGTTTCTTCTTGGGTAAAAGTCAACATCAAGGCTTTTGTGTCTCATAAAACCACAATCTTTTCCATTCACATGCGCCTGTTCAGCCACTGTAGCCCACAGGAATCATTTTTCCAGCTTTATCAACATGACGTGATACCTCTGATCACAACAAATGTTTCTTTGAGTCTATCTGTAATAATTACAAATATGTCCTCAAAGAGGCTAAGTCATTATTTTGCTGATAGAGTGAGGCATTCAGTTCTTGTGACTACTGGCAACTCTGTAGCAGTGTATTAATAAAAGTACATCCTCAATTTCTCCTCTCTTTGATCAATTTGAAGTGCTATCATCTCTTGCCAATAAAGCAGAATACTGCAAATTCTCTCTCAATTCTTCTCTCATCTCATCAGGAGTATCTTTGCCTGACTTTTCACTTAGAATTGTCTGTACTTATAATATGCATATAATTGTCCATAGATTTTATTATCATCTCCAAACTTAATCCTCACAAAGTATATGGACTTGATGATATTCCTGAAATTGTCCTTAAGAAATGCATGCCTGAACTGGTTTCTGTTCACTCTATGCTCTGCAATAAATATGTTTCTGCTTCTTGCTTTCCAGATTGTTGGAAATCCTCTTCTTTTCCTGTTTGTAAGAACTCTGCCAAACCATCTGATTCTTCAAACTAGCAACCTATTAGTCCTCTACCTCTCTTTGTCAAAGTATAATCAACTCTGAAGTGGTTAATCATCTCACCTTGCAGGGTTTTCTTTCAGAAAAACAATATAGTTTTTGATTCTCAGGATCAACTACTGATATGTTGACAATTATTGCTGAAAGAGACTTGTCAAGCTTTAGATAAAAATGATGAAGGTTGAGCTGTTGCTTTAGATATTTCGAAGGCATTTAGCATTATGGTCTTCTTCACAAGTTAAAATGGTTATGGTATTTGTGGCCATCTCTTTCATTTGAAACTCCATAATAAAAACTGACATGAATCGTCACTCCTATAGACATTTTTGCATTAATGCAGGTGTTCCCCAGGGATTTATTTTTGGACTTACTCTGTTCCTTATTTTCACAAACAACTCTCTTGATGTCATCAGTTTCAGACTTGGTATCTATACTGATAACACATCTATTTACTTCTGTTTTTTTCAATCTGTTGTTAACTGAAGCAAGAAATGATAGGTTAATTTTAATGTCTCCAAAATGAAACTGCTCTCTTCGAATCACCTGGGAGATCCTTTTTTTGCCTCCCATCAGAACTGGCAAAAGTATTTGCATATTTAAGGAAAACCTAATACAGTTTATAATTTTTAAAATACAGGGATCATAATATTCATTGAGTGATAAGTGGGTTAATGCATCTTTAAAATTTTGTTAGCGAAGGGATTTTGCCATTAACTTTACTAATTTGCTTTTTATATGAATGATTCATTGTAATATATATATATGGGGGGAGAATATGACATTTAAACTATATATTTGACTAATGGTGGGAAATTGAATGAAAAAATAAAAAAACCCTATAATCAATCCTAAGAGAAATAAAGTAATCTTTAAAATAAATAAAAAACATTTAGTCTGAAGAGTTCCTTTCTAAAGATAAAATACATAATATTTTTCCATTTCTCATTCAGTTTTACATATACAAACACACAAAAAATAGATTTATTTATTTTTATTTAGCATCAGTTATGCTAATTTTCTTCTTCTGAAAAGTTTAGTCAGTGTTAATTTTGGCAGCATATTCCCAGATGTGCTTATTTTTCAGAAAATTCTGCAGACCCCTTATTTCTGTTATAGTATACAGTAGTTCACTTATATCACTGAATTTTTCAGTTGGTTTATATGACAGGTGCTCTGAAAAAATACCTTATAATTATTTCCATATAAACATATAAACATAGCCCAATAGAATTATTGGATAGAACAAGTTTTTGCCTACAACACAGATTTTATGTAGTTAACTGGTTATGCATTTTTGCCAGCAATGAAGAGAGGCTTCATTTCATGGCTTGGCAGTTGTACATGACTGCCTGGAATTTAGTTTGTTATAAATTTTGTCTTTGTTTTGCAAAGAATCAAAATTATTTTCGTTCAAATTTGTGATATGTTTTTGTTCTTTTTTGACTTTATTCCTTGTCAAAACCGAATTTTATTCAGAATTTCATACTTTCTTTGAAGCTAATAAATTTAGTTCTACTAATAAATATAAAAGAAGATATAAAATTTCTTATTTTTTATTTATTTATTTTTAACCATTTTCCCCCAGGTAAGTTATAACCCCACCTCACATCTTAGTGGCTTTATTACAAGCCACTAAGATGCAAGGAGGGTTGCTGAAAAGTAAAAATTGCTGATTACATAAAAGTAAAACATTCCAGTAGCATTCTCAATCATATTCAGTCTGATTTTTCTCTTTAATAGCATATCTACAAATTTAAGGTAAATTAATTATCAGATTTTGTTTGAGCAATTATTGAAACTTAACTTATTGAAATCATAAGATTGCATTTTAATTTAACTTCTTTTCTTTTCCAGATGGCTAAAATTGCTGTTGGAGTTTCTGTTATAGATAAAAACAGATTAATTCACTGGACAATGGCTGATTTTGGTGAACGCTTTTTGTGTCATCTCACTGTTACCAATTTTACTAAGATTGATAATCAAGTTCTTTTGTATGTATATCAACTTCTTGAAAATGCAAAACACTAACAATTGATTCTATAATTACATCTCTATAATTATAACAAAAATTCCCCCCCTTTTTTTACATCTACTTCTTACCACTTACAAAAACTAATGCTGACCTCATGAAAACTGAAGACAATTGTAGTTAAATATTGAAAAAAACAACTTTCTAAATATTCAGTATTAAAAATATCATCAATATTTTTGTGTTATTTGAAATTATTCAGAGAATTTTGGCACAAAGTTTTCCTCAGTGCAGCAATAGTGATATCATTAATGCTTGACTTCACAGAAAAATAAAACAAAAGAAATGTGAGAAATTTAAAAAATTATTGTAAACTATTTGAATAATTTATTATCATGTAAATAATTGTTGTTCATATATTCTAAAATTATTAGCAGAACAAAAAAAAAGAAAAATTCTGTTGATTAGCTGAAAAACAATATTTGTTATCAAGATTCATATCAAAATTTATATAAAAGATTTTGCATCAAGACAGAAAATGACTTATTAAGCAGAAAAGAAAATATATTAATGCATAATAATTACATTTCTTTCTTGCTTGTGAATCTAATTAACTATATACTTTTTCTTTTTTATCATTTCACCCCATCCAAGGCAATAAAGCCACTAAGATATGCAAGGATTATTGAGTGTGAAAGAATATATGAAAAAGAAAAACATTAAGGGAATAATAAAAGAACAAGAATTTTCTTAATTCTTGTTCTTTTATTATTCCCTTAATGTTTTTCAAAAGATAACAACTGACATTACATTTAAATTTTTTGAAGATCAAAGTTGACTAGAAAGCAAGAGAACAGAAGATCATTCCACAAGAAAGAAGTGCGAGAGAAGAAACTATTAAGATAGAACTTATGGTTATATTTAGCAATTTTAACTGTAAAATGATGAAACTTGCACTTAAATATGTTAAACTTTACCAAAAAGGAAAGTTCATCAGAAAAATTGACATGAAAGTATTTATAAAAAAGCACATTATGGTGATAAGAAAATGACTGAAGCCAAGATGCCAGGTCAGGACAAATAACACTGCAGATTCTTCTTTGGATTTTACAAGAATCTCTAACTACCTAACAGAAGCACCAAACCAGATGTGACATCAATATTCAATGAATGGACAAATGGAAAACTTATAAATATGTACAATTTTTCTGACAAGAAAAATTGTCTAGCATGACCCAGTGAACCAACTTTCCTAGCAGCAAACTTAGCAATTAATTTAATATTTCTTTAGAGGAAAAACCTTAAAAATCTGTTTAAATTAAGATTTCGTAAAATGAACAAATTAGACAAATTCAAATTATAGTGGATACATAATTAAAACATATTCTATTAATTAATCAGTTTCAGACAAAATAAAAAAATCTTTTTAAAAAATAATTAATATAAGATATTCTTACTGAATGGATACCAGCTTAAAATAAAATCAATTTAACTTATAATTTATAGGAAAAGATAAAATTTACATAGCATTTAAAACATATATCAAATTACTGATCTGTAAAATTTCAAGCATGTATAGTTAGAAATTTTAGTCTCTTCAGGTAACACATTTTAAAATGGAACTGAATGATTTTATGTTAAATACAGTGTGCGATGGATAAATTGTCGCCATTTTATATTTTCAATTTCATGCATGCATGTTCGTTTTTGATTTTGTCAGTATAGTATGGTTGGTTGGGCAGTGTCTGTGAGAAAAAGAACACCATGACACAATTCACTCTACCAGAAATTTAGAACAGCATACTGTACTGCTTAGTATTCATGCTGGAAGCTTCAATACAAACATTTCAGAGTGTTTCGGTGTCAATCTGAGGACTCAGAAAGATTTGGATGAATTTAATGATGATTACAAAGGTATTTGGAGTGATCACTAGTGATGGCAACATTATGTCTCCATTCATCTTCCTACAGGGCCTCAGAATCAACATGGATGCCTACATCAAGTTCCTTGAGGAGGTAGTGCTGCCATGGGTTAAGAGGGTGGCTGCTGGAAGACCCTACATCTGGCAACAGGACAACTCTGCACAATGACACACAAGCAGGAGAACAACATTCATGGCTGTCAGACAATTTCTGCAACCACATCAGCCTTTACATCTGGCCACCTAACTCCCCAGACTGCAACCTCTTTGATTATTATGTGTTGGGGTAGAGACCAACAAAACGCCTTGTAATACTAAAGATGAAATGAAGGCAAGGATTATGGCAGCATCTACCAACCATCCAGAAGAGATACAGGAGATTCTGAAGTCATCTAGAGGCTATTGGTTGAAGCCAATTTTATTGAATAAATTTACTCTTCAGTATTTCAAGATATTTTGTGTAATTTTGGTAATATCTGCTAAAATGAGATGTCAGTGTTATTTTCATTTTTGCAAAATTAGATGACAATTTATCCCTCGCAATCTCAATGTGCATGCACTTAGTGTCTACTGTTATGTCTGTGTGCCATATATAAATAAAAGGAAAAGATATCAAATAGCCAGTCTGCATGATATTCTACAAATTGAATAAAACTCTGAGGGTCATTCATCAACCTTCTTGTGTCTAATCTATTTCCCACCATATAAAAACTCTCTTCAGAAGAAATTGAACTAAAAAAAATATAAAATAATAGAATTAATTTTTGTAAAACACTTCTCCCAATTTCTGGAATATATAAATGTTGGATTTACACTATCTGCTTTCTTCTTTTCATTTCCATTTTTCTTTGTGGATGATTTGTTTGTTTTGCTGTGGGAATGTTGGTTGTGTTTAGGTAGAAAACATGTGCTTCCTGGTATATTTATCCCACAACAATTATTGTGGACTGGAATGTGAGTCCAGGTAATAAAATCTAAAAGCAATGATAAAACTATGTATATAAGCAAATAATAAGTATGTATTAACAAAACAAAGGTATACATTGACAATAGAAGATTGTTGCATGTGATAAAATCAATAGATATAGAAGAAATCATTTATACTAGTGAAAGTGTTTGTGTAGAATATCTAGAGAAAAGTAACGAAAGTGAAGTGAAAGATGTGTGTAGTGCCTCAGTGTGGAATGTGTTTCTCCACATTCGAGCTACATCTTACCATGTAAGAGGAAAAGAGAGGATGACAGAAAATACCACTATTTATAGACAGTGACATTTTCTGTTCCCGAGAGACATTTTTTAGGCAAGTGGGGGTGACTCCAAAGTTTTACAAGCCCAAATTTTCACTCTCTCAGCATTTCACAGTTTCTTTATATCCAATCCATGCTTTTTACTGATGACCATAAATGTAGGAGAAAACAAGATAAAAGAAATACAAATCAAAAATCTTATACAGGAACCAATATCAGAAAAGGCTATCATAATTATCATAAATCCTAAAATATTTGAAAGCAGGTAAATATTGCTGTATCTTTTCTTTTGTTCTCAAGTACATAACATATTTAATTAATACATAAATAAATTAAAATGTTCAAATCAGTTTAATATTTTATTGTTACAAAAATTATATTGTTTATTTCAGAGACACACTGCTGAATTTTATGACAAAATCTGAATGCTCTAAAGATTTATTGATGAGAAAATGGTCAAAACTTGCAACTTCATTCACAAACACTATCAAAGAATTTCTTTTGCCAAGGGTAGAAATGATTGGAAATGAAATAAGTGGGTATCAGTCCAGTCTATTTGTTTATTTTTTAGATTTAATATTTGAATAATCGATTTTGTAATTATTCTGATTCTAATAACTTAATTTTCCTTTAACAATAATTTTTTTTTGTAAATAATAAATAAATCCAAAAAGTCTCGGGAAAAAAAAGAAAAGAGCAAAATGTTTGCATTGTTTCTGTGTCCTTCTTTAATAGAAAAGTTAATTATCAACTTCACACTTTTTAAATGTTAATATGTCAATCAGTCTCAATAGCATGCAGAACTGGTGGTAAATTAATGAGTTTTGTTTAAAAATTATAAACATAAATTGTAATTTTTTTTTCTGTAACTATTACTGGCCTTGAAAAAACATGACCATTTCCTTTTATAATCACTAAGAGAACCCATTTAACTGTTTTTAAGATAAAAGTTTTGTATCATCTATACTAAGATGCAAAGCCAAAAGTAGTGACTCTTATATAAAAAACATTGACAACAAAATATCCTCTTAAATGACTCTGCAAAGAGAAAATAATTCTTAACAATATGTCTGTATTCTTTATAATTTCATCTCTGTGTGTAGTTTATTAAAGAAAATGTAACGAAAAAGTAACAATTTAAAATGTATTCAAAAAGTAACAATTTAGGAGTAAATTCTTTTATTTTTGATTTTCCAGACAATTTGACTGTGGCAGTAATGAAAGAAATGAAAATGATAAAATGGACAGAAATTAGAAGAAATATTTTTGAAGTAATCAACCAGGTATTTTATTTATCTTTATATTGTTGCAAATAAAAACTCAAATGGTGAAAAAAAATTTTTTTTTAAAAAGCTGTTACAAAGTGTCAGAATTATAATATGAAGAGCCAATTTGATATCAAACTGAAGCTAGAACAATTTCCTTTTTTATGGTTGATAGAATCTGTGGAAATAATAACAACTCCCTTTATCCAATTCCTTCAAATTTGGGCGAGCTGAGGAAAATGACTAAAAGAAATTTGTGAGCCTATGTGAAATATTCTTTACACCAATGAAAACCTTGTCTTCACAGGAATTAGCTGTGAGCATAGAAAAAAGAAAGAAAAGACAATAGAGAACCTATGCAAAATCCTTTTTGATATAAAATGAGGCAAAAAATTAAATTAAGAAGAGCAGAGTCTCTGAGGTCATGTGAAAGGTTTTGTTTCTGTTCATGCATTCAACTTGAAATTTTCACCACTGTCAAATTACACACCAATTGTTATTATCAGCTTTTAACCAAGCACTTCAAAAAACTTGTGGGCATTATGTACATTGTAATAGAACCCTGGAGGTGGTGCAAAATATAACATGGCCTGTGGACCCCAATAAGTATGAATCACAAGAGGTCCACTAACATTTTATAAATTAATGATATGAAATCTGACAGGTTAAGAAGAGGACAACAATACAACAAATTTAAAATTTAATACAAAATTTATTTTGAACACAGATAAGAATCCTTATAGGTTAAATTAGCATGTAAGTCCACAGTTTGAAAGTTAAGTTCACATGTCCGGTGAAAGTGTTGAAAAGTTGCTGGTCAAATCCAATGACAAACTTTCCATAGTATTTTAACCAAAGTATACAGAGTAGGTTATTTGAAGTCTGGACAACATAGAAAGTTCCATTTAAATGTCAGATACTGGCATTGAGTAATTGCTGGTGAAGTCCAGTGGTCAACCTTTATAACTGAAGTGCATGGAGTAGGTTATTTGAAGTCTGGATGATATAGCCAAACAGAAGGAAGTCTCATTTAAACGTCCACTGTTGATCAAATCCAATGTCTGGTGCAGGCATTGAGTAGTTGCTGGTCAAGTCCAATGGTGAACCTTCTGTAGTATTTTAACCTAGTGTATGGAATAAGTTATTTGAAGTCTGGACAATATGCATGCAGCAATTTTCTAAACCAGGTGAGTTAGGTTAACAGGAAAGCCAGAAGCAGGGACCTAGTGTAGGGGGAAGTTCAGGGCTGTTGATAGCAGGTCCAATAAAACTGATCAACCAAGAGAGTTAGGTCGAGATAGTGGTGCTAGAAGTCGAGACAATGGTGTAGCCAGAAGTAATAAAGGCTAGGAATCCTAAAAGTTGCCGGAAGAAGTAGAGGCCAAAAGTACCAGAATTTGAAGGGATATGAAAACTCAACTAATGTCCAGTTGGCAGACAAAAAAAAAAAAAATGGGAACATAACTCAGTACACAACTCGTCCAAGTTTCTCCTTCTCCTCTCTTTGGTTTGGCAAGAAGTCAACGTGTTATATGGAAATGTACTAAAACTATCAAGAAAAATAAACTGAAATGTACTACAAAATATAAAAGGTATAAAAATATTCACAAGGTGTATTAGGTTCGTAACACTACTAGAAAGAACTACAAGGAACTATGAAACTAAATGAACTTAAATTGAAGGGTGTGTGTCAGCACAATGAAGAAAAGGTCAAGGTCATAGCGTTTACCCTTGGTCATGTGGGCGGAATAGCAACGTTCTACGATAATGTTGATGTTTGAATTGAGAAACACGTATCTCCTAGCGGTGTTTAACCCACAACAAAAGTGCCGGACTTGTATGTGTGTCCGCCGTGATAAAATACAAAGAAACGACTAAAACCAATATATATATATATATATATATATATATATATATATATATATATATATATATATATAATTATTTATTTAAAAATATGATTCCATCGCTACATAAGAGTTCTGTTTCAAAACAAGAGCCGAAAACTTCAATATAATTATTTGAATTAAATTGGATTAAAATACCAAGCTCTGTTCCATCTTCAAGCGAAATTTTTGCTGGAATAACTAATTCTTGAAATTCTTTATAAGCATATTCATATTAAGATAAAATTACTATGGTAACGGCTAGAGCAATTATTTTAAGAAGACCCCCTTTTTAAAATAATTGCTCTAAGGATTAATAATTTGTATCAATATCTCAGTTACATTCAAAGAGGTCAAATCAGGGTGACTAAATTTAAAGTCGAAGATGACATCGTGTCAATGGAGATTTATTTATTTTTTATTTCATTTTCTTTATTGAAAGGGTTTTAAAATATTGTCATAATTAGTTAATATTTGTTTTTTTTTTTTTGACAACTTCATATGGAGTTTAAAATTTGTATTTATTATTTAATTGTTTGTTTGTTTCTTATGCTAATTATTCAATGCGAAAATTTGATGTCGGCAAAAAAACGTTAACTCATGTCTATTGTTTAATAAATTTTCATTATTTAGAAACTTGATAATTGATAATGTGTAGTTTTTCATGTAGGCATAAAGGGCATGGGTCATCCCAAGTATTACAGGTTCTAGTTTTGTTTATAATTTTCCATTTACTTTTGATGTTTTATTCATTTCCTTCAAATGCCAAAAATATTTAGATAGAGATGTCTGATGTCTTTTATTAATATTGTTGAAGGAGCTTTTATGTTGTCTCCATCTGGTCTTAAATTCATTCTTCGTAGACCCAGTGTATATCATATTAGTATTAGGACTCTCAATGGATGAGATTGTATATTGGTATACCACAGATTTTACGCTGCATATATTTTTCAATGGGAAGTCTTCTGGGTTTCTACAATCACATAATTTTTCACTATTTTTGTCTAATTTAAGCTTAGGGTTTTTATTAATACTATTCTGGCATGGAGGTTTATTCAGGATTTTATTATTGTGTTTTTTTTTATTATACTTTCTAGATTTTCAGTGCAACTGTAACTTAATTTTAGGGTGTTTTATTAAAGATTTTACTAAGTTTGCTATTTGTAGGAAAGTGTTTTTCAGTTAAAGCTAGGAATTTATGTCCTAGCTTAATATTAACCATTTGGTTGAACGGAGGGATATACCAAATGATTTTTCTTTTCCTGTTTTTCTTCTGGTTAGTACAATTGTTTCTATAATTGATGTTAGCATTTTTGTATCCACTATTTTTTAGGGCTGCGTTATAAAAATTACTGTGTTGTTGGAATATTTCTTTATTAGCGGAGTTAATGCTGATTCTTTTCTCTATTGATGAGGGTATATCCTTAAACATACAATATCTTTACTTTGTCACTTGAAACAATGTAACCATTTGTTTTGTTGATAATACATTATCGTTTGTTATATATATATATATATATATATATATATATATATATATATATATATATATATATATATATATATATATATATATATATATATATATATATATATATATATATATATATATATATATATATATATATATATATATATATATATATATATATATATATAACAAACGATAATGTATTATCAATAAAACAAATGGTTACATTGTTTCAAGTGACAAAGTAAAGATATTGTATGTTTGTGACAAAACAATGAAACATGCGTGAAAACCTTTAAAGACTAGTGACTGTTCATATATGTAAAACGTGTGTAGAAGTCCTAAAAAAAAAATGTGGTTGCGTCCGTATGTGCATGCGCGTTTCCCCAAAATGAAATGAGTTTTCATGGTAGACCTACATGCTTACTGTCCTGGAGTGAAAAAGCGAAAAGTGAATGATAGAAAATATTGGAGTCTTAGAAAGCGTCCGCTGGTGTTTTTTTTTTTTTTTCTGATTAGGAAAATAAGGGGGTGAACTCCACAGTTTGTGACAAACTTAATTTTAACAATCCCAGAAAGCTAAGTATTTCAAACTCTCTTCTACTTTTTCATACATGCAACACTAACAGTATAAGCCTTCTGTGAACAACAAACTCTCTTACTTTTGTTTTAAACATTTATTATTATTATTATTATTATTATTATTATTATTATGTGTCATATGATTTCTGTTGTATGAACAGTTCTTCTTCATGACAATTCGTTGAAATTTGAATGTCGTGAATATAGTTAAACTAGGCCAGTAATGCCCGACGGCTGAACGCTACTGAGTCCGAATTTTTATTGTCGATAACTCTAAAACGGTAGGTTTTATTAAAATTTAATTGTTATTTTGAGTTCAGCATGTACATTTACACGGAAATATGACGATTTGGGAAAATTTTTATCGATATTTAGCGCGGAGCTTAAAAGGCAAATTTTATCGACAAAAGTCACCGCTTCAAAGACAACACATTTTAAAGTTTATATTACAACAAATCATAACAACCCATTTTGATTTATATTTTATCTTCTTTTAAAAAGACAGAAATCAAGAGTGGAAATAAAGAATTTCTAAAATAACTGATGGAGATACCCCGGAGAAAAAATGAACGTACGTAGATACCCTGAAAATTTTCAGAAGAATTTATCCGGAAAAATGTTTGGAACTCAAATAACCTCAAAGGAAACAGAAGACGAAAATTATAACGTTTGAGAGAAAACTATAATTTGAAAGTAAACGAAATACAATTTGGAACCATCAGCAAGCTAGATTGAAGGTGATTGACCAATGGACGCTTGTTATATATATATTTGTAAGATGGTGATGGTGAAAATTATAACAGGAATAGTGCATTTCCTAGCAGGGGTTAACTAGCTTGTTGTGGAAGAGTCCACAATGTGCTTGTCGCGGCCGCCTTTGGCCGCTCCCTAAACGGGAACGAGCAGTACACTTCGACCTTGACAATTTTGATCGTGTTACAGACACGCTGTGTAATTTAGTCTCATTTCGTTTTAGAATTGAACTAATTACTTTTTAGTTCCTTTTGTGTTATGGACCTAGTCGCAGTACACCTCTTAAGCATTTTAGAGTTAGACCTTCGTTTTTTCATAGCAAATCT